TTTGCTGCATACAGCAGCATGGAAACGTTCCTTGGTCAAGACACGGCCGATCTCATGGGCTTAGGCTCGCGCCTAACTCGGTTCTCGTTCGTCAATGACACATCTGGAGACATTTCTCTTGTGTTGACTCAGCACCATGCCATGTACGATGGGTACTCGTTAAATCTACTGCTTAACAAGGTGTCCAATATCTATTCAGGAATTGCCAGTGACAGTCCCGTTGCTCCTTTCCAGGCCTTTGTCAAGCACATAGGCAGCATAAGCAAAGAAGAATCCCGACAATTTTGGCAGTCTCAATTTTCCGACTCTGACACTGCTCTCTTTCCTGAACTTCCAGGGCAAGGCTATCAGCCGAAGCCGGATAGTACTGTGAAACACGACATCTCTGATCTTGACTGGCCAGAGCGAGATGAGACGCCATCAACTTGTAAGTTAATACTTGTTCCATACGTTGCTTGAATTTGCGTTGGATCAAGATTTCTTGGTTCAATGGATAGCTGCTTCTTGAGCTATTTATTGAAAAGTCCAACGATGGCTAACTTTCATCCCAGTAATACGTGCTGCTTGGGCCATTTTGACTGCACGATACACCGATACCCACGACGTGGTTTTTGGCGCGATGGTGACTGGACGACAGGCGCCGCTACCAGGCATTGATCGAATGATTGCACCTCTTGCCAACGCTGTTCCGGTTCGTATTAAATTTGATTCCAAACAAAGTGTTAGCAGTCTCCTGCACGATATTCAACAGCAGTCGATCGATATGATCGCCTTTGAGCAAACCGAGCTATTGGATATTCGCCGGATCGATGCCAACACTGAGCGAGGAACCCGCTTCAACACGCTTCTCGTCGTGCAACCTCCCTTCCCCCATAGATACGGCCAGCTAGGTGACTCTCCATTTTTACATCACTTTGAGACTATTTCTGGAATCGATGATCTCGATGATTTCAATCCCAATGCTGTCATGGTAATGTGTCAACTTTCGAACGCCGGTGGACTTCAGTTGGAAATCAGCTTTGACTCTGGTATTATTGGAACTTCACAAATGGAGCTCATCGCTTCCCAATTTGAGCATGTCTTGCACCAAATTTGTGTCGCCAATACTGAAACCGTCCAGGATATCAGTATGGTAAGTGCTCGAGATATTCAGACACTCTGGAAGTGGAACTCGCCTGTTCCAGAGGCGATCAACGAATGCATTCCCGACCTGATCAGCAAGATGGTCAAGGAACAGCCGGATGCGCCTGCAATTTGCGCCTGTGATGGTAACCTATCATATTCGGAACTGAATAAGCTCTCTGATACATTGGCTTTGTACCTCGTTTCTCTTGGAGCCAAGCCAGGAACCCGAGTTCCCCTGTGCTTTGAGAAGTCTATGTGGTATCCTGTTGCTGCACTTGGAGCCATCAAGACTGGTGCTGCATGTATCGCCATTGACTCGACTCAACCTGAAGCACGCCTTAGGGCAATTATTTGTCAAGTCGACCCAATTCTTGTGTTATCATCGTCCGATAATGACTCCTTGGTCAAAAAACTGTCGACCGCGACGAGCGTAATAGTGAGCCAGCAGCATATCGATGAGTACTCATCAAAACTTGGCGAAGCCTGCTTGCCCCAAATCAGTCCATTAGCCACCCTTTATAGTGAGTAACCTGCACTCATTAGTGTGTTATGGCCTTGCTAACAAATTGTAGTTGTCTTTACTAGCGGATCAACGGGAACTCCCAAAGGCGTCATCACGAGTCACAGGAACTTTGCATCCGCAGCTATTCACCAGGCCGATACACTCCACATCAAACGCGGAACTAGAGTCTTCGACTTTGTGTCATACAGCTTTGACGTATCATGGTCCAATCATCTCCAGACATTGATTTGCGGGGGCTGTCTTTGTATCCCATCAGAATGGGACCGGAAAAACGATATTATAGGTGCTTTTAACAGAATGAACTGCGGCTACTCTTATTTCACCCCTTCAGTGGCACAATCACTTGATCCGGCCTTGCTGCCTGGGCTCAGAATCCTTGCCATGGGAGGGGAGGTTATCCGAGGGACGGAAGTTGCGCGCTGGAAGCAATACGTGGATACGGTGATCGGTATCTATGGGCCCGCGGAGTGTGCTCAAGCTCTAAGTTTCGCATGCTTGAGTGGCACAAGCCGCAATGGCCATGTTGGATACTCCTACGGTGCAAGAACCTGGCTTGTGCAACCCGGTCGACCAGACCGTCTAGCCGCCGTTGGGACTATTGGAGATCTTGTTATTGAAGGTCCGACTGTCAGCGAAGGATACTTCAAGAGCTCGGACGAAGCAGCAGCATCGTATATGGACAGCCCATGCTGGCTCACACAGGGCTCCAAAGATTACCCTGGTCGAAGCGGCCGGGTTTACAGAACGGGGGATCTTCTGAGATACAACGAGGATGGATCCATGGACTTCATTGGCCGTAAAGACAGCTTGATCAAGTTACGTGGTCAAAGGATCGAGCTGGCTGAAGTGGAATATCACGTTCGGTCCTGCCTCGGTGATGATGCCAGCCTCTACTCCGGTATCGCAGCCGAGGTCATCATTCCGCAGAATAGCAACAGCCCTCAGCTCGCCATCTTTGCCAGTCTGGCAGGAAATGCAGGCAATCAGTCAGAGGTGCAGGATGCTCAAGCTCAATCTATGCAGCGATTCGAACAGATGGACAGAAAGCTTTCCGACCGTGTTCCCAATTAGTAAGTATTCTATTCTTCCCGCCCTTGGCTCCCCACTCACTGAATTATACCCTGATGCGTTGGACATATTTCCACCGCATCTTTGTACACAAACTCGCAATCAACATCACCAGAACATACCGTGAAACTAACTGAATTCTCTCAGCATGGTTCCAGCTGCATACATCCACGTTGACAAAATTCCCATGACCACTACAAACAAAACAGACCGAAAGAGTCTGAGGGAGATAGGGGGCAGCCTATCACAAGAGCAACTTACACAGCTACAGGCTCAAGGGAAAGAACAACGAGCGCCGACTACAGCCTTGGAGAAAAAATTGCAAGCTCTGTGGTCAATGGTTCTAGGTGTCGACCCAGCAATGATCAGCGCTGAAAGCCACTTCTTCAGAATCGGCGGCGAGTCAATTGCTGCTATGCAGTTAGTCGCAGCCAGCCGGGAGGAGAAGCTGTCATTTTCTGTGTCGGATGTTTTCAAAGCTCCTCGTCTCCATGAACTAGCATCACTCATTGCTGGGATGGGCGAATATTCAGAGATGCAGGTATCCTATGAGCCACTCTCGCTCCTGGATACTCCGGATTATGAATGGTTCATCAATGAATATGTCCACCCTGTTTTGGACTCTGATGTATCAGGTATTCAAGACATTACTCCTGCTACAGACTTTCAAGAGCGTGCAGTGTTGGATGCTATGCAGGACCCACCAGGTAGATATCCTCATTGGATATTCGACCTTCCTCGAAATGTGGATTTCATGCGGTTGCAAGAGGCGTGTTACAGGCTTGTAAACCACTACGATATCCTCCACACCGTCTTCGTCGAGGGTCAAGGCCAACTTTGGCAGGTTTCATTAAGCGAAATGAAACCAGAGTACAACGTTTTCAATGCTCAAAGTAACGAAATCAAGTCTTTCATCGACAAGCTTTGCGAGAATGACTTGAGACGCCCAAGGAAGCTGGGTTCGTCTTTTATACGATTCATGGTTATCAGGCATGATTCCGGGAGTCACAAACTTGTCCTTCGTATATCACACTCTCAGTTCGATGGATACAGCTGGCCCAAAGTACTGGAAACTCTGTCTGCGACATACAACAACCAGCCATTACTAATTGCGCCCAAATTTGTCCAGTACATCGACTTTTGTTCAAGGCAGAAGAATGATAGTCTAAAGTACTGGGCCTCTAGACTTACCGATTCGTCATTCCCCAACTGGAGCTCAACAAATACGGACAATATCGGATGCAGTCCAGAAGACAGGCTGAGTGCAAGCAAGATCACCACAATGCCAACTAATATGGCCACAAGTGAAGGTGTCTCGGTTGCCACAGTTTTCCATGCTGCTTGTGCATTGGCATTTTCGCGACAATTTAGCCAGAAGGAAGTGATTTTTGGACGTCTGGTCACAGGCCGTTCTATGCTCCCGAGCAGTCTACAGAGTGTCGTGGGGCCTACGATGACTGAAGTTCCTATTCGAGTCAATATCAAGTCTACCGACACACTTGACGATGTTAGCCGGCAGTTACATGATCAGTTTATTCAGGATTCCACTCATGAAGCTGCAGGCATGGTCGAGATCATCAGGAACTGCACCACTTGGCCGGGGACAGCGACCAACTTTGGATGGCGCACCGCTTTCCAGCAAGCGGACGATGGAGATTCATTCAATTTCCTTGGCTCGCCGAGCAATATTTCTTTCTATCAAACCAGCCTGCCTGCGCGTGATCGTCCAGAGATCTATGCCACGCCTCGAAATGGGAAGCTCGAATTAGAGTTTGAGGGGAACAAAAGAATTACATCCGAAAGGGCTATGTTTGATTTCATGAAGCTGCTTGGATCAATTTTAGACGAAACGCTTGAATGTTAGAGTGCATCTCCCGGATGCCTAGTACTAGTTGTAGAAATAATATGAATCAACTGCAGGATGTATAGCATTAGAACTAGATTACATCCATCTCGATGAGATGTCTAAAGCGCTTAAGAAACCAGTTCAATAGAATTACTTGGATTTTTGTTCCTGTTAGCCTGAAAAAAAGTGCTAACTCTTCAATTTCCGGCCAACGTCGAGCTGATGGAGCTCCACCACGATATCGCCTCACACATGACACAAGACCTCCACACTCCACCTCCACCAATAAGAGATCTTCAGGTTTGAGATCAACACTGGAAGAAAAGCAGTCTGCAACAATCTTGCCCCAAAGATCATCGTGAATCCAGTCTATCCATGTGTTATAACGGTCTCGTCTTGCCTGAGTGATCTGCCTTGATTCAATCAGATGTTGCAAATATGGCCGCAACAGGGTCTGTTCCAACTCCAGTTGGCTTTCTGGGGATGAGTGGCCTGGCATTGAGAATCTTTTACGGCCTTCTCAGCAACCCAGAGTATATTGTCCGGATATACGACAACAATGCACCTGATAAAGCCAGGATCAGTGCTCTAGGTGGAACTTTTTGCCAACACCCTGAGGACGTCGCAGCGAATGCCGAACATCTTATCTGCTTGGCTGATAGACCCGAGCTTGAGCGTCTGTTTTTTGGCCGCGACTCCACTATCCTCGAAGGTATTTCAGTCACTAGTCCCACCATCTATGATTGTTCTTTCTGTTTACAGTAAGATAGTACTGCCCGTTGGATGCTCAGTTCTCCTGTGCTCAGTTATGGACACCAATTTTTACAACGCTTTAGAAGTTCACCTTTCGAGGCTTGGTCGATCAGACATCCTTCTAATAGACTCCCCGATATGCTCAAATCCAACGAATGACACGCAGGGGGACATGGCAGTCTTTGCTGCTGGAAGACAAGAGGCTTTACGCAGAAACACAAGTCTTTTGGACGAAATATCGGATAAATGGTTCGTGATTCCTGGTACCTTAGGAGTTGCCAGTAAGGTCCAGCTCATACATCAGATGCTCGTTGGCATTCATATTTCTGCAGCCACAGAAGCAATATCATTTGCTATTAAACAGGGATTAGAACCTTTCGAGATTTCCAATATTGTCAAAACTACTAGTGGCAGCTCCAGAGTCTTCCAGGCTTGCATGCCAGAAAGCTTGGGCAATTGGACTGCTGATCCAACTCTTAAAAATCTGGCCAATGATCTGGTACGTCTCCCACAGATCAATACATGGATCAACGCAATCTAACCTCGATAGTCCCTCATTACGTCTATGGCTCGGTCATTACAGTTCCCACTCCCTTTATCTGAAGCCGCAGGGCAGCTCTACACCAGAGGCACTAGACAAGTCACTGCCAAAGAGGAAGACACTGATACCAACCTAATGCGCGTCCATAGTCCTAGCTTCACGCATAATACCGAAACACGCCATGGTTCACAGATTTTTTTCAGCCAGTCGAACAGAATCGATTTGGACTATTATCAGTTCCCCATCTCGACAATTAGTGTAATAGGATTGGGTGCCACAGCCAGGGAAGTGGCTACATCACTCCTTCGAGCAGGCTACGTGGTGCAAGGCTATGGCGTCGTTCCTAACACTTCAGAGAGAGCTTCTCAAATTGAGAGCAGTTTTTTCCCCGCCAAATCCTTCGTGGAAGCAGTCCGAGGTACACAAGTGGTGGTAATTTCAGTGCAGAGCGCAGTCCAAGTCGATGACGTTCTTTTTGGCCCAGAAGAGGTAGTAGAGAACCTTTCCAATAATGCTGTCATCATTATCAGCTCTTCTGTTCCTCCTTCTTATATGAAAACCCTTCCAGGTCGGCTTGGGCGCCTCAGAAGCGATATAAGTATTTTGGACGCCCCTGTGTGTGAATGGGCAACTGATACCGCCGACGGTACTCTAAATGTTCGTTGAACCGTCCTTTTTTATTGCAAACTCAAGCTCATCGTCTTAGATTATGATTTCGGGAGACGATTCTACTATCCGAAAAGTCAAGGCCCCACTACTAGCCATGACCAAAGATATTTCCAACTTGCAACAAGTTCGAGGAGGAATAGGTGCCGCTTCATCTATCAATCTCATCAACCAGGTTTTGGCAGGGATCCATATTTCAGCTGCTGGAGAGGCTTTGAGTTTCGCGGCACGACTGGAACTTGACCCAAATGTTGTGTTTGATGTGTTAATTAACACTTCAGCATGGAGTTATATGCTGGAAAGCAGAGGGCCGCAAATCCTCGATGCGGACTGGACACCAATCGTGCCTCTTTCCACGTTTATGAAGGCTGTGGCTATGTTTACTGAGGAGGCTAGGCAATTGAAGCTCCCCTCTCTAATATCATCTGCAACTGATATTATATACAATGCTGCGGCTGCTAATGGCTGGGAAAATGAGGGAGACGCGGGTGTGGTTCGCTTCTGGGAGCTTCTCACCACCGTGTCTGTGGCCAATTCGGTACAAGAGGCTGCTGAAAGTTGTATTTCGGGGGCAGAATCCTAGCCTCCCTACAAATGGTTCATCGGCAATTCGACCTAGGACCTTTCAAATATCTTGAAGAAAATAATGGATCATAGAGTATACTAGAGGGTTTGGGGGTGCAGTTGATAGCTCCCAGTGATCTCTTAGGCTTGCTTCGAAGATCGAAGATGTAGCTACTTTGAGTCATCCTTGAATCAGGAAGCTCTTCATTCATTTTGACATCAGAGGCTTGAGGATGACTCAGTAGAGGGTGCTACTTATGTGTTCAGCTACCCGGTTTTCTCTTGCTTCGGATGCTTCACGAGGAGGACAGTCACGTTTCATATCTGCCTAATGCCTAATAGAGGTTTTCCAACGAGTTTGAGGAACAAATCGACCTAACCCCAGATTACCTATGATAGGATTGATTCGAATGCGAGCAATTGCACAAAAGATAGTTCAAGAACAGAATGAAGACGGGACCTAGGTCGATGCATTAAAATATTTTGTTTACCTAATATCGAAATACTGGAAATAAGGCGAACCAGGATTGTCTGGTAAGAATAACCGCTCATTACTTGTCAATGAAGATTTAAACATGCCACATCGTGCATGGCTATGCTTCACATCTAGGTTTTCCTCAGGATGTTGAGGGTTCCAAACTAGGCACAAGTGGAATGTGAACTTCACAAGAGGGGTGACGGCATCCACATTGACGAGACTTTCTAACCATCATCGTACTCCCTCTGATCATTTGTCCCCGTGACCATACGATGAAGTTTTCTAAGCAGAAACCTTAACGGCCCTCCTTGCTCCGCTGGGAAGTCTAGCCTCTCCTTATGGAGGTGGAGGTATGTGGAGGTGGAGGTGGAGGTTGGCCAAGCCTATCATAGAGGGGTGGAGAGAGGAGGTGGAGGTGGAGGTGGAGGCTCGCGAGTGCGACACGCAGTTCTCGACCCGAAACATGCGATTTCTCCTAATCGGTGTCAAGATAGGGACTTCATCTGTAAACACCAATTTGCAGAATATCTTTTAAATGTCCGGTTGCTGTCCTCAATAGCCTCTCAACATCTCTCTATAACGCGGGTGATCAGTGTTCGATACCATCTCGCTTCCAGCTACCTCCACTTCAACCTCGAAAATGAGTCCATCAGCTACCCTGCCCTCTCTAGACAGTGCCTTCGTGGCAAACGCCTCGGAGTACCAAATTCTAGAGAAACCCAGTCGTTCTGGTCGAAAAATACGCATCATCTGTCTGGGCGGCGGTGCCAGCGCTCTGAATCTCGCTCATGAAGTTAGCATCAGCTCGCTTGACCTAGACCTAGTTTGCTACGAGAAGAACCCATCTATTGGAGGTACTTGGTACGAAAATCGCTATCCGGGTTGTGGATGCGATATCCCCTCCGTGAACTACCAGTTCTCGTGGGCACCATCGACGGAATGGTCGCATTAGTGAGACTAAGCCTTCTTAACTTCCTAAGGGTTCAATATTAACGCTCATTCGCAGCTACTCCAGCGCTTCGGAAATATTGCAATACTTCAAGGATGTTGCGGAGAAATATGACCTCAACAAGTATGTTCGCCTCAACCATACTGTGGTTGGAGCAACGTGGGTAGAAGAAGAGCAGAAGTGGCATGTCCGAATCCAGCAGGGCAACAACCCGGAAGATGTCATCACCGACAAGGCCGACATTTTTGTCAATGCCAGTGGGGTCCTCAAGTAAGTGAGCCGAATCTAATTGATAGAATTCAGACTAATATAGATACATTAGCAAATGGAAGTGGCCTGATATCAGCGGCCGTGAGACATTTAGGGGCCCAATGCTCCACAGTGCCAACTGGGATGACAGCATTGAGTTGAAAGGGAAGCGGGTGGGAGTTATTGGTGGTGGCTCGTCCGCTGTACAAATCGTTCCCAGCATCCAGCCAGGTACGGTTTTTCTCTTCTCTAATAATCCACGAACATCTAGCTGACACCTTCGTTTTCCAGTTGTTGGACACATGAAGTGTTTCATTCGGAGTGCTGCCTGGGTTACCGCTTCCTTCGGTCAACGATTTGCTGGTAAAGGTGGAACTAATTTTGAATGTAAGTGCTTCCCAGACAACAACCCTGGCTCATTTGTTAACATATTGCGAAAGACTCGGAGAAGCAGAAAGAAATTCTGCGCAATGACCCAACGAAATATCTCGCATATAGAAAGAGAATCGAGTCTGAGCTCAATTCTCGATTTAGATTTATTCTGAATGGCTCAAAAGAGCAACAGGATGCTCGAAATGTAAGCATGAACATATTTATACACTTTTGTTTCTGTGAAGCCGAACTAACTCTCAAACTTCTCTCAACTTCCAGGCCGCCGAGAAAGATATGAGAACCAGGCTAGCTAGCAAACCTGAGATTGCAGACTTGATTGTCCCAAAGAACTTTGCAGTTGGCTGCCGCCGGCCCACACCTGGAAATGGTTATCTGGAAGCTCTTTGCGAGGACAACGTAGCGGTTGTCTCATCCAGCATAACCGAGATCACCCCCAAGGGTATCAAAACTAGCGACGGGGTCGAACATGAGTTCGATGTCATTGTTTGTGCCACTGGTTTTGATGTCAGCTGGAAACCCCGATACCCTACTATTGGTCGTCACGGCGTCAATCTCAGCAAGTATTGGGCTGATGTCCCCAATACTTATCTCTCGTTGGCAGTAGCAAACATGCCTAACTACTTCAGTATGTTCCCAGTCCCTTGATCGCTAAGAAGCAACAAGAAGATAAAATCTAATCAGAGATAGTTTTCAATGGTCCATTTGGGCCTTATGGGCATGGAAGCTTCCTTCCCATTACCGAAACTGTCTCCCGCTATGTAATGCAGGTCCTCAAGAAAATGTCTGAGGAAGAAATTACCTCCTTTGCTCCAAAAGAAGAAGCTGTTGCCGACTTTGCTCAGCACAGGCGCAAGTTCTTGCCTCGCACGGCATGGACCTCCCCTTGCCGATCTTGGTTCAAACAGGGTACGGTTGACGGTGAGCCAATGATGTGGCCTGGATCACGTATCCAGTTCTTTGAAACCATTGCGAGCCCACGATGGGAGGACTTTGTTCTTAAATACACTACGATGAACCGTTTCGCTTACTTTGGAAATGGTTTTGCGGCACGTGAAGGAGATGGAAGTGACCTGACTTGGTATCTTGGTCCGCTGGATGATACGGGCTTGCAGCCTGCACTTCCTGATGAAGACTTCGTGGACTTTCTTGTTAATGCCTAGACAAAGTTCTTATAGAAAACTAAACAAATACTCAAATTTAAATTTTTACTTCCAATCTTTTCTCTAATTTTGTTTTTTTTTGTTTCGCTTAGACGTACGACGTACGTCTTACCGTTGCCTTCTGCTCTGTTTCCTTCTCAATTCTTCTTCCATAGGATGGAAACTTTCTAGGGATTAATGATTCTCTTTCTAAGAACCGTTATTGACGAAAATCAGATTATCCTTCTTTTAATCTACACAGTATTCAATCAATGACAAATCGTGGTGATACATTGCTGTTAGCCTCTGAGCCCTCGAAATGTTTGCTTTTCTCACCCAAATGCCAAGTGTGGTTGGGGCAGGGAAAGTGTTGTCACTATCGGACTTTAGACAGTTAAAGCAAAAGTGGAAGTCGAATTAATATCTACACAACTAACTAATTTGCACAGCCATGGAGTTACCTCAGAAGAATAATCCTCCGCTATTCACACTATCACCAGGTAGTACTTGAGCCATCGCATCACTCAGCAGACAGCCTCTTTCTTTCAATGCCACAGATTGCCCCAAAGTCCCAGCTCCATCCGTCACAGTATGTATCGGAAGTCTCGCTGTTCGAAATCTGTGAGGTCCAAAAACGCAGTAGACGAATCCTGCGCAACCGTCGTCTGCGACTGCTCAGCAGCCAACTTATCACGGCGTCGGTTCTCCCACACATTGACATAACGAAGTGCCACAATAGTGAGAGCCGCACACCCATACATAATAGCCACCATCATCTTACCATGGTAGTATTCGGGCGCCTCATTCGAGCGAAAGGTTTGGGGACCGATCCAATTTCCGGCTGCGTAGGCCAGGATCTGGAGTCCATTGACAGTGGCCTTTTTGGTGTACCCGAGGGTGTTGTTGGAGATCATGGTCATGACCAGGCACCAAGATGCGCCTGCTGCCCCGATAAAGTAGTATCCAACGAGTAAAGCGGCCTTGGCGGATAGCGGGATGACGACCATCATGATGCCTCCGATCATGGGAATAAGAATGGCGATGAATGCAAACAAAGAACGGTCCAGGAACTTGTCCGACAAGTAGGTGAATCCTAACTTGCAGGCAATATCTACAATCCCAGTAGGCATGTTGAGTAAAAGGGAAAGTCGAGAACTGAAGCCAAATGACTTAATCACAATAGATCCGAAGGACGTGATTCCGCCATTAGGAGTGTTCATGAGAATCGAAAACAGGACATAGAGGTATGTTCGAGGGTCGCGGAAGGCTTCGTAGAACTGGGACCACTTCCACTTACGACTTCCGATTCCCTGAAAGTTTTTCCTGATTCGTTCGACTGCAATCATCTTTTCCCGGTGGTTGAGGAATTTAGCATTGGTTTGGTTGTCGGGCATTCGCAGCCAGCAGTAGATGCCGGAGAAAACTGTCGGTATACCCAGCACGATGTAGAGGATTTTCCATGTTGCCAGGGGCGAGTTTGTGACGCCAGACAAGCCGTACGCGATGGGTCCCATGACGAGGAGGGCAACACCATTGCAGCTGAGCCACAGTCCCATTCGTCGACCTTGCTCGTTTTGCTTGTACCACTGGGATGTCAGAAGCACGAACGCGGGCGTGACCGTTGCCTCGAGGGCACCGAGGAAGAATCGAACGCAGAGAAGACCGGCATAGTTCATCGCGAATACGTGGCAGATGATGACAAGGCCCCAAAGGACGATGTTAGCCGATGTATATTTACCCAGCGGGAGGGCTCGGAGGAAGTAGGTTGTAGGAAATCTACCACGATTAATTAGTTGCTGTTTCGATATAACCAAAGGGGAACAACGCAGACTTTGACATACTCCCACATGATATAGCCAGCATAGAATATGCTCGAGGCCCAACTGTACTCCTGGCTATTAGGATCCAGATTGGTGTCCTCGCGAATACCCATCAGGGAGGCATAGTTGAGTGAGGTCTTGTCAGCAAACTGCAGGGCGTATATCCAGCACAGGAGAGGCACGAGAGCAAAGTCAATCTTGCGCAGGACAGATTTCTCCTCCTCTTCAGTGAATTCAATCTGCTCCCCACCCATAAACTCAAGAGCTGGGTCCACGTCTTTGGAATGCCCAATCTCCTTTTCTATTGTTGTACCATTGTCGACGTCTGATCTTATGGGAACGATATGCCCACCGTCGACTTTGTCTTGGTTATTAGCAGACATGACGACTTTCGATGATGAAGAGGAAGGAATATTAGCGGAAGGTTATCCAGAATGTGTATATCACCAAGGTCGATGGGATCAATGAAGGTTTCGGACAGAGCCCAGAGTTGATACAGAAAATATGCGAGGTCGAGGGGGGTTTATGTAGGCAAGGCGCATCCATGAGGCTAATGGTTGGACAGAACATACCGCACACGTAGCTGGACTACGGTGACGCGTGGTTATCTGAGAGCTGGACAGGGTACAGCGTTGGCCCCCCTGACTTCCCCCCCGAGGTTCCCGTGATATCAGGTCCAGATCTTGTTCTTCAAGCGTCAGGGTTATCTCCCTCCCCTGCACAAACCTGATAGCAAAATCCGGGGGAGGCCAAGGTCCCCCCGCACTGTTCGTGGGTTGGCTGTTCCAGCCTGAGAAATCCGAGAGGCGACTCGGTAAGGTTTGCATTGGTGCTGGTGGAGCTCCACGTCTGTGGGCTCGGTTTCATGGGCATGACTTGGAGTCGGTCGTGGAGCTCCATCAGAGTAGCCAACTGGAGACGTTGTGGCGGGTCCTTCTGAGCAATGACTCGAGGACAGTGGCGCCAAATTCTGACACTGCAAAACCAACCTTGGGCCGCCTTATGTATGATTGGCTCACCTAATGGAGCGGAGCATCGCTTGATAGCTCGGACCAGCAATCAACTGTCGCCCTTTGATCCTAGAATAATAAGAAGTTATGGTATTAGCGATGACCGATAATGGCAAATCGCCTCGGGTGATACCCGAGTATTGTTAATGGTGATCATTTAAATCACGGATGATAACCGAGGCGAGTTTGGTAAGAATGTAGAAGCATCTCACAGTTCTCCAGTACATGTTCGTTATGTCAAAGGCCAAGCCCACTTAGGCTGTGTGAACTTGATATGGCATACTTCATAGCGCGTTTACCTAATAGTAAAGGCATTCTTTATTGCATGAGCTCTTCCGACTATTTCCTTCCAATGCGAATGTTACTCGTGTACCAGACTGTCGCTATAGGGTAGGTGCGTCATGAGATGCTGGCCCAAAAGATGCTTTTATGCAGGGCGTCGCCTTTCCTGTTCCGTTCTAGCGTATAGCTCGAGTGCATAGTCTTATGTTAGTGCATTTTCTTGTGCACATTCGCCTCAGCACCATTTCCTAAGCCTCTTTTGTACCATTGACCATCCAATCACTTACCGAGGTGCAATCGTTAGTTTAGTGGTCTTTAGCAGCTACACCAGAGCTCCACACTCCCTCCACACCTCCCACATGAGATAGGTGACTCAGCACGAACATACACAGCTTCTCCTCTCCAAGGGGAGGGGGATGAGACCCCGGAAATGCTGGCTCTCGTGGACGTTCATTCAACTGGTATCTGGACCCATCAAGCCTACAGAAATTCCATCTTTCATTGGATAGATTGAGACAAACCGATACCTCTTGAACTCGATATCGAGACCGAGTTGTCATTGCACTCACCTGGCTGTCCCTGACAAAGAGCTGCGATGGGTTCGGATCGCCCTTTTGCCTGCAGCGCATGTTCGCAGACATTCACGCGAAATGTGAGCGGATCGGTATTCATACCATCTATTCGGAAGCACTGACCTCTTTCGATCCCGTAGGAGAACCTAGTGCGACATAGACGATCTAGTACGGCCCTTCATTTCCCCATCTCCTCATTACAGAGCCTTGGCTAGCGGAGCTGACTGGATGGGCAGGACATGGGGATAGCACGTGCAATAAGCCATATGCATGTTTCTCCTGCAACGCATCATTTTCAAGAAGGGATGTGTGCAAACGCCATGTCGAGAGATGCCGTGGCATCCCAACTCACCCCTCTCGTCGAGAAGCATCTGAAGAGGCAATTAGGGAAACGATCCAGATTCAGAACTCATCTGTTAGTCCACAGGAGGTCTTTACAAGCCCAAAGGTCGTCGTTATCAGCCCAGAAAATCACCAAGATTCTTGGGGACAAACACTCTCTCACCTATCTCCACCAGATAATGGGTAGATACACCCTTCTGCTCAAGGGCCATAAAGTCACCTACTAACTGTGAGACCTCGACTAGATTCCTCATGACGAGCTATGACTCTCACATATCAGCATACTTTGATTATTTCCACCCTTCATTTCCGCTGCTCCATCGATCCACAGCACTTGGTACGGGCCCTCAATCGCTAAAGAGCATGGCTCTTGCCATAGGCAGTGTTTACAGCGCTCGGAAACTCCCTGAAGATGAAATTTCGTCCGGTCTGCGTGAAAGTCGAGATGTCTGGGACACTGTTTACGCTCACCTTTATACCATTGTGAGAATCTCCTGTTCTTTTCGTAGCCCCCGATTTCCTCTGACCATGAGGCGTGCCCAGATGGATTCAGATTGGCAGAGCCTTCGGAAACCAGGTGTTATTCAAGCCTCGATCCTGTGCATTATATATGGCGCCTACATGGGCGAGCCTTCGCACTATAGCAAGGCCAGAAAGATGCTGCGAGCTCTTGTAGATGTATGAACGCAAACTGTGAACCGAGACTGACAAAACGCTAACTCGGGGTGAGAAAAAAAGGCTTCGCAGGAACTTGGCTTGCTCACGCAAACATTAGTTCTAACATCTCCCCGATCCTGGATTCAAGCCTACGATGATTCTCCCAACAATCACGCCCCATCATTGCATGAAAGCTGGATGAGTTATGTGGAAGAAGAAGCCATGAAACTTGCCATCTATAGCCTTCTTTTCCTGGACTTCCACATTTTTTATCCATGCAATATCAGGTCCATTACATCTTCTATGGACATGGACTGGGAACTCCCATTTTCCTCCATGCTCTGGGAAGCAGAGAACGAAGTAGCTTGGATGAGAAGTTTGAACGATGACTCGCGGGTCAAGCGCCTAAGAGAGTCAGCGACAGACTTCAGTTTGATTTGCCCTACCACCAAGTCACTAACCTTAGCGATGCAGTCTCTGATGAGTGACTCCCCGAGGCCTGCATTAGTTACCGCCCTGGCAGCGTCACCTTTCACCACTCTCTTCGTTTTGACCAGCATCGACGCTTTGGTTCGGGACTTCACACGCTCCTACTACCAACTTCCCCCCAATCTGGCCGACCCCTCAGCCTATCACATTCTCACGCAGACCCAGACGCGGCAGGTTGTTGCCGCGCTGAAACACATTCTGCGGCTCTCAACCGATCAAGACATCCACTGGGATGCGAAAAACCAGCCACTTTGGACAACTATCCAGCGGATGGTGCTGGACGTGAGAATATCCCTCTGTAAGCCAGATGATCTGCTGATTGGCGGGATCGTCGACAGCAACATCTTCGCCGGATTGGCCACGGCAACACACTTGGCTCTAGGCCAATATTCTGGCTCAAGGCGGTCGCTGCAGTCGCTCCTCGACAATATCACAGGCGACGACGTCATTCTTGTGATGCTTGATGATATCTCCGATGTTATTCACCAAGTCCTCGGGGAGAATCGCCATGATGCATTTTCTGAGGCACCCTGGACGTCCGTAGCAACCTACCGCGTGATCCTCACTGTATGGCGGTCTCTGCGATGGGCTGCTGGCCACGTCCGCGATAAGAATGGAGGAGAAGAACCAGTATCCTCATTAGAGCGTCGGTTCACTGTACCAAACGTAGTACTGAATGCGATCATGGAGGCTGTTTTGTCCGAGCAAGAACGGATGGTGCAGCGGACAACATATGTTATGGCCCCCAGTACGAGCGAGGTGCGGTTCAAGGATGCTGTGTTGCAGTTCTGGAAGGAGAGGAGTGTTTGGGCAATTGGGCCGTTTATGGAGAATCTTGTTGCTGATCCGGCTTGTGATTCATTCGCGCTTTTGCCTGTAGAATAGTCCTTCACACGATAGTAAATACTCAGATGTATAAGGCTTGACTCACTATGTTAGATGTGAAGAAAAGGAAGCGAGACACCCTGCACCAGTTGGACATGTGATCCAAATTATAAATTGCCTACAACATGCTTACTCTCCTGATATTAGAGTGAGGCCTGATATGCTACTCCACCACGAGGAGCTCCTGAGGTGGAGGTGGTGGTGGTGGTGGAGCTCCGCCTCCAGCTGGGCCAGATATCTTAACCACTTGTTGAATATTCAAAAATTCCTATTTTAACGCCGCAAAGAAGATACGGTTCTTTACGAGTCGATTTCATCCGCCCCTTGTGATAATACCGCTGAAAATTACTCGCACGATCTCTACGTAACAGGTTTGCACATCTTTCAGCCGAGAAAGAACCAATATCAAAATGCCGCTGGAGACAATTGGTTGGGTATGTATAATTCCTCTCTACTTTCACTATATTCATTGACCGTCGAATGGAATAGTATGGACTGGGATCCATGGGCACCAAGATGGCACTGAACCTCCAGAGGCATTTATCTGCACAAGGAATGGCTCCTCTGCGTTACAGTAACCGCACGCTGTCGAAAGGGGACGAACTTCAAAAAATCGGGGCTATCCCGGAACCTGAGTTTGAGGAGTTAGTGAACCGATCATCCATCGTCTTCACTATGGTAGGAGCGCACTTGGCACCCAAAAGCACCTGAGAAATCGCTCATGTTAGATAGATTACCGATGACCAAGTGCTGGAGAAGCTTGTCGCTGAGGTGTTGCAGAAAGATATCAATCTGCAGGGGAAGATTTGGATCGACACTTCCACGGTACACCCCGAAACATGCCATAGATGCTTCACGAAGCTCACTGAGAGAGGCGCTACGTTTGTGGCATCTCCAGTATTCGGGGCCAGTCCGGTAGCGGCCGAGGGAAAGCTCATATTCGCCATTGCTGGCACAGCCAGTGCCATTGATCGGCTACGGCCCTTTATCATCGATGTCATGGGTCGAAAGATAATTGAAATGGGGGAAGACGTTCGTAAATCAAGTCTTCTGAAAATCTCCGGGTATATCTTCCAGCGTCCGATTCTACGTTCATGCGGAGGCTCGTCTACTAATTTCTGCCAGGAACATTTTTGTACTTGGATTTCAAGAGCTGATTGCTGAGGCCCAGGTCTTTGCAGAGAAGTCAGAGCTCGGAACAACACAGATGGAAGAGTTTATCGGGAGTATGTTTGGACCTGTTCTGCAAAGTTATTCGAAACGTATGACTTCGGGCGCCTACGCGCCTCCTCTGAATGTCACCCCTGGCTTCTCAGCGGCTCTAGCTACCAAGGATTGCAAGCACGCTTTGTCAATGGCTCAAGAGAATGGCACGCGTTTGAAGACATTAGAGGCAGCACTTGGGCATCTAATAGCTGCGCGGGAGTATGCTGGGGAGTCCCTGGATAGTTCGTCTATGTATGGCGCGGTTCGGATGGAGGCAGATCTCCCGTTCTGGAATGAAAACAGTCGACAGAGCAATTAGGGCAGACATGATATTAAAGACAACGTACTTTGTATTGATTAGATGGTTCAAAATGGAAAGCTATGCCTAAGCGGTATAGGGCGGCGGTAGATGAATGCCATGACTTGGGTATTGCGACACGAGGGTACCTCTTGGCTCAAAGATTAAGCCAACTAAACTGAATGCTGGAGAAAAAAATACAAAATTTCGCGCAAATTGCTTCAATATAAACGTACGCCGCATCAATAAGGTCAATAATAGGGAGTGAGTTTATCGTAGAAATTTAAAGGCGGCACTATTAAGAATAGGAGGTAAGATGCAACGGCTTCTATCATATTAAGTAAAAGGGATGAATCAACTTAATAAACAAGGAGCTAATGGCAATGCCTAGCATTAAACCACAATCAATCCATGAAGATGAGAGGTCCGTGGTGGCGCCCGAATTAAGCTTCAGCCCCATTGCTCGACGCCAGCAAAGTGCAGCATGAACAACAACCCGAATATCATTTGTGACCGGCGTCATAGCTACATCAAGAATGCAATTCTTGGGGATAATTTAGTCTCGCCTCCACTCTAACCACCAATAAGCCCTAAAATCCCTCCTCCCTTGGGCTCATTCCCGCAAATGGTGCCCATCCACTCGATCTTGCTTTATAGATTGAGTTTGAGATGACCTATCTGAAAATTTGGGGTCACCTCGAGCCACGACATAGTAGTCGTGACTTTAGAATCTGACTGCCTCGATATTCTTAGCCAAAGTAGGAATACTGTTTGTAAGTCCCTTACAAAACTGGCGATGCTCCTATGTGGTATTTTGATTTCGAGATCTTGATACCAAAGTAAATTAGCATCGTATTTTGACCACGAGAGCCTGTCATGAACGGATCTGATGGGTCTGAATTAAAGTTCATCAAGTTTTTGAACGAGTTTTAGGTAGTGTGACTATTTCATTTTTACTAACGCAACACCCAAATGCGAACAGTAGCACTGCCCCTTGCATTTCGCTCTTAATAAATTGTACCATTCTCCAGTTTTCATAATATTTCATTTGCCATCCCAGTTAATCATAGGAGGCCATCGTCACCATGTCGGATATGCTGGAGGCACCACCAGGCACATTTTCACATACAGGGGGCCACAGCACGGATGTCTTTCTCACTGCGATCCTTCTCCCCATTTTCTCCATCCCTATTGTCGTGGTGCGGCTTTGGACAAGTAAATTTATTGTCAGGAGATGGCACCCAGATGATAGTACGTAACTTGTGAGCAGACCTACCTTGAAGCCAATACCGAAACTAACCCTTGCTTAGCTCTCGCCATGATTGCAACGGCAAGACTTGTCGTTACTCTAGTTATCACTTACACAAGCCAACCTTCAACGTTGAATAGATTTTTGCGATCCTTCATTCAGTAATGGTTTGTATAGGTAACGGGTGCCTCTCTACGACTACCATCCGTGAGAAACATGCTAATTAATACTGCTCTAGAGGCTCGTCTTGGTGCTGGCGATCATCTCTTCAATTTTTCTCCATCAAATTTGGAGCTGCTCCTTAATGTACGGTATTGAAACTCCCCGAAATCACCATAACCTGTAATTTGAGCATGTGTTGACGATATTGATACATGCAACAGGTAGGCAGATGGGTTGGTGTCCCGCTTTACAACTTGACTACGGTCTTTATCAAAGCGAGCATTCTTATGTTCTACCAGCGATTCACCGCAAACCGTGCTCTCAAGATCACTACCTACGCCGTTCTCGCGGTAGTCGTAGCGTACAGCTTGGTGAACATCATCGCCAGCTTTGCGCTAGATTGCTCTGATCCAGAAAAGTGTGATCGGCTCTTTGTGGCCTACATCGTCTGCGCGGCGCTGAATGTGGCGACCGATGTCGCAATTCTACTACTTCCGTTTTGGATACTTCGTCACTACAAATATCAACTGGGCGGAAGATCGCTATCGGCATGGTGCTGATGGCAGGCGGGTTGTATGTATTTCCAAACTCTAAGCATACAATGCTCTATGCTAATTCTATCAGTGTCTCCGCCGTCAGTATACTGCGACTAGTGATAACTATTCAGACGGACAAGGAACTGGATACGACCTATGCTTGGGGGAATAGCGTCAAATGGAGTCGCATTGAAACATGGTGTGGGCTTATATGCGCTTGCTTACCATGCATCAAGCCAGCCCTCGATCGCTACTTTCCCCGCGTTTCATCATGTAAACTTTTTAAGAAGAGAGGGACCAGCGGATATGGGGAAGAAATCGGGTCAGTTAGTACTGTATGACGAATGGCTGGAGATTTTTCCTGGAGCAGCTCAACTTTGTGCAAGTGCAAGAAGGGTGGTGGCAACAGCGATGACGACGACGACGACGACGACGACTGTAGCCCTGCCGGCACCCTGACAGCCCCATCGATCCTCGCCGGACTTGTCGTTCTGGTCTCTTATTCTTTCTATAAAAATGTACGAGCCCATGCTCTTTTCCTTGTCTCTCTCGTTTAACAACCCAGGTCAACGGCTCTCTCGCAGGCCTCAGCTAGTCGTAGTCAAATGTAGCTGAGACTCGGTTCTAAGTGCTCATTCCTTATTTCTGTCTCCCTTTCTCTCTGTATTACATCTATTCAACCTTATCTCAGGCTTACGAATCAGTGCAAGCTTCCTTTAATTAGAATGTAAGCCTTACTCATAAAGCCATGCCGATATGGGGACGTGTTATAAATAAAATATCATCGCATTGTGATTAATACAGATTTTTAACTGAAAAGGTTCCATTTCTAGCTCATGGTTGTGCTCAATATACCACTCCTCTAATACCATGAAGCCCAATTGCGTTTGATCCTGGGCAAAACCTTTCTTACATAGACCCCCTCAAGGTTGTGGCGTAAATGGTGGTCAAATCCATAGGTCAACGCATTCGCACACCCTATAAACTGAGTCGAGACTTGGAGTGCAGCTATTGTCCTCGTTGATGGCAGATGACCTGTTGCCTCCATAAAGCGGCCCACAAGGCCTGGTATCCAAAGAATGACATACATGATAGGATAGGCATTGAGTAGAAGCATTCTTCTGATCTCTCGCTCGATCGGGCGGGATTCCGATCGTATTGGGAATTCGCTAGCGTTTGTTCGCATTGCCAACTCTCGATTGCTGCCCTCGTAGCGGCCATGTGCAGGATGTACAGCTGCTTCTGGTATTTTCAAATCCAGCTCTCTTATTTCATGCCTCGGAGTGCTCGCTGCCTTGTCTAGACCCTTCTGTACAGTTGTTTGACTGGATGATCTGTCGTAACTAGAGGAATTGCAATCTATCTCTTCGTGTCGTATTCCATGATATACTATCATCCCCCGAGATCGCGACGGACGTATACCCACCAGAGGTATCCTTGCCGAGTCATGGAATTGGGTTTGCGGTGTATGGTTCGAGCTGAATTGCCACTTCAAATAACCCCAGATACAGATATGTATGATGACAGTAGAGGATATAACGCTGAATCGCCAGCTATGAGTGAGGGCCAGTCGTAGATCAGGACGGCTAGATGAGATCCAGCACCAATTCCCACCGACGACTGTCATGCTATCCGTAGCAGTAGCGGCAGTGCTAGTTATCACGGGAATGATCCAGACAGCAACACATACAAGAATCATCATTCGAAGCGATGCATTCAATATGTTGCCAATTCTCAACACGACCAGGAGAGTGACTAAAGCGATAGAGAAAATGGAGAAGTCGGCCGCTTGCACTGAAAGCTGCCCGAGAAAGCCTTGGATTGTGCACCCAACGCCAGGATGAAGTTGGCTATCTCGCAAGCGTATGATGCCCGACACAGAATTTGTCAGAGAATTGATGAACTCTGTATCGTATGGAATGGTTAGTTTCCCTCAAATACCCAGATGTGAGGTCTTACCAGCAACTGTGAGGTTCAAGACTAATGTATGTCGCATATGACGGATTTGATGGCGGTAGATGAAGAATGAGACGAGAACAAAAGCGTTCGCAATACTCGAAAGAAGGCTCCCGGTCAACGTCACCGTTGCAATAACAGTATCCATATTCTTAGCTCCTGATGATAAGGAACAACTGGGTGGCTGATACAAGTGCTAGTGATCGTATTTACATGGGAAGTATAATAGAGACCAGCTGAGCCCGTGGCATCCGCATAATGAAATTGACCCAGTGTAAAAGAGTCGAACCAATTGAGTACGTAGTAGCTAGCACTTTGATAGACTGGAAGTAGAAGAGCATCACTCTATGATTTACAACGGTGAGGCCGAACTGATTTCAAAGCTTGCGTGACCAGTGACATACATCCCTTGCCACGGCCCGTTGCTTCCACGAGCCGCTGCTGCCACGACCCGCGAGGCGGCACTGATGTAAAAGGACCTGAAACTTCGCTTCAAGGTTTCCCCTGAGCTTGGGCCCCTTCATCATATATGAGAATACTATGCTGAAGTGACGAACACATGCCAACTCTTGGTGGATCCCGCCTTTCAAGGCTCAGTTACACACCCCTGCTTTGGCATCATCTCATATCCACTGGCTGACCTTTTCCCGAAATCATCCCCGAGTTTTGTGCCGACTCTATTCCAATTCGTCTTCCAATGGTAAATGTATCCACTGTCACTGTCTCAGCTTTTCCCGAAACCATTCCCGACTTTATTCTAGCGGTTCTGTTTCGATTCCACTTCCAGTGGTCACGATACCAGATATGCCAAAGTTTCAAAGCAGCCCGACAAGCCCACGGGCAGTCAGCTGTTTCATGGCTACGTATGTAACAGACTAAATAAGAATCAACACTTTTCTAGAGGAAAATTGCTCTGAGAATTCACTACTAAAATGATACAAATAAAACTTTGAGAATTAAGAAATAATTCTTCTATGTAGTTCAATAATACTGGTTAGTTAGTCAACAGCTTGGGCCGAAACTATAGGAGATGAAGGAACATGGCGACGATCCCCCGGATTATAGTCAGCTCGTCAAATCTTTCAGCCAAACAGACCCGCCTACCTATCGGGATCACACTGCCTAGCAATGCAAGTTTCAGATGTCGAACAAATTATGGCTTCTAGAACCCTATAATTTCCGCCGGTAGACTTGGCTAGTTGCGCAGGGAAGGCAGAAACACTGTGTAGCATCGAATGTCACCAGTGGCGTCATCCTGTTCATGCTGCAGATACATTTGGAAGGGATACGACATTTTGTAATTTAATATGGACTACGCGAGGTTGCAATCACACGTGAGCTAAGTTCGGCACGGTCCGAAGCAGAGGAAACTGAACGGTTTTTCGGTGGGACCTAGCGAAAATCATTGCAGTATAGGTACTATTCTAACACGCCCAGCATGGCATATCTACATCATCCTAGACCATATCCCATCTCGGCACCCCCGCTCCTTGGAAAAGCAACTCAACTAGCTAGTAACGGAAGGCTATGCTCGACCCTTAGTCCGCCTCGGCGCCCTGCGCTCCACACTTCTGTTCGCAATAATAGGTGAACAATAGGAAGGTTAGCAATAGCTTATAGTTTCAAGTCAGGGCGTCTCTTACCTCATCACCTCCGATATGGCTGTTAGCCGAATTGCAGAGAGTCCCATCCTGAAATCCCGACTCAGCTTCAAGAACTCTCAATGTGTGGATTATAACCTACAAAAGTGCAGTCGGGGCATTGGTCCCACTGCTTGTCGCCAGTGTTGCGCTTCAAGTAGAAGTCACAAGCGCATTGTGTCGCGTTAGGGAGGAGTTCGAAGCTGGATCCGTCCCTGCCGGTCACACATGCTGCGGATTTGTGCAGGTCGGCATGGACGCTTAAAGAGAATTAACTGTTAATAATGCAATATGAGTTTTTGAGAAGGACGTTCTACCTGCTAGCGATTGCGAGAATCAACACAACGATAGAGTGCTTCATGGTGGCTGATATGATTGTTTGAAAGATCGTTGAGGAGAAGCAGAATGTTGTCATTTGGTTAAGAATTTGGCTAGTAGTGCAACCCCGTCTACTTATACTAGCGGGATAAGGTTCTTTTCTTGACTTGAGCGTTGGATATAGTTCAAATCCTAGGGTATCTACTACGTATTGAAGCTCAAGATATTAGCCCTCCAAACTAGGAAGCCAACCTGAAACCATCCACTTTAACTGTCATGCAGCCCGTATCTGCAAGATTTTCGGACGGACATGTAGCCAGGGACACAGTTGCAAGACTTAGAAACAGCAAACTTCAGCCTCCGCGAATCAGATGCTAGCGGTTTGATGACCCTTGTGATTCGAGAGTTTCAAAACTAACCACTATCGTAGCATTCAGCAAACTACTTCATTCATGTTCCAGGGATTCAGTACCCCAAAAAAATTTGTTAAGACACAGAAATGCTGCTCAAATAGGTCAAGAAGACAAGGGAGTGAGGCTTCTCTACTAGATTCAATCAAATGAGCTGACGAGTCAAGTGGCTCCATTCGGCATCACCGATGCATGCTCAAGTTTGGTAGTCAGGGCAGTGACAGTAGATGAGGGGTTTCAGGCTAGAGTGAGAAAGGATTTGCATGAAGCTGTTGTTGGAAAGAAATTAGACTGAGAAGCGTTAAGACGTCCTGTTACTCATGATACCAACAGTTAAATAGTTGGTGATTCCTCTGCCCAAGAAAGACTCTTCACCACAAGTCACAGTTCCTCATCGATCACTAGTCATTTGTTTCATCTCCGTTACTAATACAATTGTATATTCCTTGACCAAGATGCGCTCCTTTGTATACGTTGGTGTTCTGCTCACGGCCATCACTGGTGGCATGGCTCTGGAAGAGAGCGCCTTCGAGAATGCATCGAAGTGGGAACCTGCCTATACCCTCAAGTCAGACGAGGTGATTGTTGGCTTTGGCAATAATTGTGGGTTGATCGATACAAATAGTGACAGAGAGAGAGTTCTAATCGTTAAACAGCGTATGTCGCCAAGGCGGATGAATACCTTGCCATTTTGAAAGATGCGGGTGTCACAATTGGAACTCCCAAACTTGACTCATCCTGGATCTCGACCAGCCCATCAAACGTTCAAACAAGGCGCGGGGCCAAAAGAGGCCTTGACAAACGTTGCAGCTCGACGGAGTATATCATCACTGACAAAACCGAAACTTTCATCGACTGGGATGTCCAGATGTCCCCGGTGTTGTGTGCCGCCGCCGGAGATATGGATATTACTGTCACGGATGGTTACAGCATCTCCAATGCCGTGACTACCAGTGTGGGGATCGACCAAACTCTGATTGAAGATATTCTCAAGGTCTCGTTCCGTGTCGACTATACAGAGACCTGGACAACCACGGCATCCACGCTTACTAAAGGTACAGTGAAGGATGGTAACTGTGGCGTTATGATTACCAAGCCCATTACAACCCGACGCTCTGGCCGTTTCTTCCGTGGATGCATTGGCTCTGCTACCCAGGTCGGTACCTGGTATGCTGATAGCCACGGAAACGGGAGCTACAATGGCGTTGATTGGATTCAGGGCGCTATTTCCATGTGCACCAAACAGCAGGACAACCCTCCTTTGACTCGATGCACTGGACAAGGCGACTTCGCTTGAGGGAAGCCCCTTGAAGATGTTATCAAACAGGGCATATCGTTGAGTTTTTTTTTCGCTAACTCGATCTGCCCTTCTTGAAGAATAGTGAAGCGGTGGAGCAATGGCTTATAGGATGATGGAGGGAAAAGAGATCCGGGGCCTTGAATGAGGTGACTGAGGGGTGTCAAGGTTATTCAGTTGATAGAAATAACAGTGTTAGTTTTTATCACTCCGTTTAGCCTTCTCGTTCTGTTTTATTGGTAGAGGCATTTTACTTGTTAGTGTAAGCATACATAGAAATAGATCAAAAGGATTAGTAACCGTAAATATCAGTGAAGCTTGGAAGATTGGGCACTGGCTTACGTTGCCATTATCTCTAATACCCTATCCTTTAGATTTCTTTCTCAACCAGTCGTTCGGTATGAATAGTTAGAAGTTCAACGCACGGCAATGGCTTATTTCCCAACTGTTGCAGCCATGGGCTTCTTTCCACCAGACTGACGCACTCTCGACCTAGGTGTTGAGATTCATGCTGCAAGATGGTGCTTGTTTCTCCCATAAATATCGTTCGAAACTGATCCGCTAAAATCTTGGACGTGCATTCTGGCGTGACCTTACTGATAGGCCAAATCTCAATACCAGAGCTCTTAGTAAGGTGTGCAATATCGAACAACCCACACCATACGGCAAAATCATATGTGCAACGCTAGCTCTGCCTTGGTGTTTAGTGTACCACTACACTCAAAGTCGAACTGTAAGGACTTGCTCTCCGCAATCTAATGATAGCATGGCCTGTATTATTTGGCGAAATCTGTGCGAGAGGAGCGCTAGAAGTATTATTCATGGTATCAAGCGGATGTGACGCGTATGCACAAACCTCGTTAATAATTCGGTTTTACCTTAGCCCACCACGGATATTCTGTGCTGGTGTAAGAGTAGCAATTCTTGAACAAGAATGTGGTTTATTAGGTCATGCTTCGAAGTCTCAGACTAGAGAAACAGGAAGGTAGGTCCAGGATTAGACAGCGTGCACATGATTTGGCGCGATTATGCATTCCACTACCCTGTCGATATTATGGTCACATATATCTGTTGGATCCCTGCTAATTTCTAGGAACAGTGTGTAGCTTCCCGTTTCGATGGGGTATTCAGCGTATATGGGGCACATTTTGGACCGCAAGCGGCAAATATGATACCCCTGCCCTCGATCCTACAATGTAGCGCATTCTGGCCAATACGTGGTATAATGCCTTAACGCCGCAAACAAGCTTACTCTCCCTATAAGGAAGCTATTAAATCTAGAGAAGAAGGTAACGCTTTGGTGCTGATTCATCGCCTCATTGCGTGTGTCAAATGAAATGAGATTTCATTTGTGCTGTCACCCCTTCCCCCTATGAATGGGTAGTAGAGCCCAGTACTCCACTACTTAATAGACATTGAAAGCCGGCCTTGTTTACAGTTGGTTTTGCCAAACACTTGCAAGCCCATCTTTGCCTATCTCGCGTAATACACTATGAAGTTCTATTCAGTTCTTGCGCTTGTGTTCACAGGCCGCTCGTTAGCAGCAAGTATCGCCGCTACCGATTCGTTCCGCGCTGAGGGATACCAAGCTAGCAACGCATTTCCAGCCCAGCCTTTGTTCTCTGATGGTCGTAAGGCTCACTTTGTTGATTTAAATCTAAGGCTAGTACTCGCTGACACAACATTCGCAATAGGGGCCGCATATCTTGGAGACTACAGTCTGTTGAACAACACTGATGCCGCACCTGTCATCCGTAAGTAAAAGGCCAACCAGATTTTGTCTAATTGAAATCTAACTGTGTACCAGTCCAACGCAGTGGCTCTGCTGTTTCGCACTGGTCGGCCGCACCAGGGGCGACCAACGGTGTCCGCCCATCTTGGACCGGAGTGCGTATTGCTGTGCCATCTAGCGGGTCTACCGAACATGATGTGGTTTTCGTAGATCCCACGTCGGACTTGTCCAACCTTGTGGATGACTTTGCTCTCTACAACCCCCAGATATTTGTTCAAAACCTAGAAAGCTCACAGCTGGAGGATTGGTGGTTTGCCCAGCCTCATGAAGTGGACGGCGTCTGGAAATTGCTCTGGTGGCCTAACGGAGATGACACTGATGGGAAGACCAGAATCCAGCTCCGAAAGGCCAGCCAGTAGTTGACTGCCAGTTGCTATAATTCCGTGTATAGAATTTATTTAATAATTGGAATACGTGAGAAAGTCGGGGTAAATGTAACGTGAAAGTTGTGCTTGTGTTAAATTCTTTCCAGCATCGTAAAAAGTGATTGTGTCCTATTTCCAATCGGCGCATACTAGCTATCTCTATGGGATCAGATGAGGCTGAATATTGAGTATCTTGGGCTTTCGACTTTCTACGAAATGTAGACACTCTTAATTAACCAGTTCGCCGCGGGTAACAACATGGCTTTCTGACCCTATATAACATTAGTTGCACACAGGTAAGCGCTGTTCTTATCACAAATAAATGCAATAGCATGTGACTCAATTTCTAGTCCAACTCTTACCACACTAAGCATAGCGATAATTCCCCCGGAGTTTTGCTGAAGCTGCTCAAGATTGATTCAAAGTGTACAAAGAGCTGCACGAAATGGCGGTGACTCGAGTTTAACATGTAGGAGCCTGAATTTGATCTCTGCCTTGGTATTCCAGGCTCGAAAGGACAAGGCTTGGCTTTTCTACCCATTCCGCATACTATCGGCCGCAGGCAACTTCCATTAGTTGGCACTAAATTCATCTCATCTATTTAGTAAAGGGGAAGCGAGGGGCTATGATCAATAGTTGTGATAATATTGAAGAGAATCCAGGCGTTAGAAGGGCGTGGATTCACACCCCTTCCATAGTGCCCCTTAACATAATGCGGCGCGTCTTGGGCAATCGAAGAGAAAAGACTCAGCGCCACAAAGAAGGAAATCGCATATCATTGTGTCGAAAACTGGGAGTTTGCTACTCCTGTTGATAGGTTACCCACTTCATAAATACTTGGCAAAGGCCCAGGACAAGGTATTACAATGATTACTGCCGTTGTTGATACTGGCAACAGAGATTTCGATCCAATTAACAATATTGACCTTGATCTGTCTTCAATAGCATAAGAGGTAAGTTTCAGTCATGTGATGAAATGTGAATAAGAAGTGGTGCCGGGTAGTTCACTTCCATACGGCTCACGACAAGATGGGAAATCGCGTGCAATGAGACGGCTGAGAGCAAATCAAGGATCAGCGTGGGTCTTCCTCTCCCCAGTGGCACAGCCATGATTGACTAGCTGGACTGGGAGTGCCGTGAATGCAAAACAGCGCGCTGACGTCTCAGCTAAGGCGGCATTTGGCACGTAGATTTTCAGCTCGTTTCAAAACCTGCACGACAATCGCGCCGATCCGCTCGATCCGTATCTACGTGTCCGGCATTACGCACGTTCTTTAGCTAAAGACCACCCGCATGAATTAACATACCTGATCAAATCTTTCGAGCTTTAGCTGTAGGGAAATCCTTCGGCGCAATGAGGCAGAGTATTAATATGGATCGACCCCGTACGCACAATAAGAGCAGCCAACTCACACACGTGCGTTGTGTGAAGACTCCTGCTGACCAGTATGGTGAGCGTCAAATTCCTCGCTGCGCTGTCATGGCTGTCGGCCGCAGGGCAGCTTGTCCTCGCCGCGGATATTGACTGGGAATCGATCAAAAACAGCCGTGGCGACAAGCTTCCCGATTTCAGCTACTGCGGCTATCGTAGCTCAGACAAGTCGCTCCCAGGTTCTACCGCCGCATCCGTTGTCGTCAAAGCCTCGTCGGGCGATCGAACAAAAGAGATCCAGGCTGCGCTTGACTCAACCGCTGCCAGCGGAGGAGGCGTTGTCGAGCTGGCAGCGGGGACGTTCCGCATCTCCCCAGGCTTGAATATCTCGGCCAACACGCGGCTGAGAGGCTCGGGCGTTGAGTCCACGACTCTGGACGTCACAAAATTGAAGATAGCTGGACTTCCTCTACTGTCCATGGGCAACGGCACAAACGGCCGCATTAACCCTTCCTTTACTAGCAAGATCACGGACAAGTACGTAGGCATCGGTGCCAAGACTGTCACCGTGGAGGATGGTAAGCAGTTCGCAAAAGGACAGACCGTCTTCATTTCGCGGGCAGCTACAGAGAAGTGGGTTCGTCAAAACGGCATGGCAGATCTCGTCCGAGATGGCGAGAAGCAAACTTGGGTGCCAGTAAGTCTATGACGGACCACATGCAATTAACACAAATGCAAATACTAACAAAGTTCCCATAGGTTGGCAACTTGATCCAGCAACCTCGCACTGTTCAAGCTGTGTCTGGCAACAAGCTCACCTTGGACATCTCCCTTACCGACGCACTGGACCAGACGTACATGGAGCCTTACGTAGCAGCTTATGACTTGCCAGAGACAAAATCAGAGATCGGTATCGAGGACCTGTCTATCACACTAAGCCCGACATGCGCCGGTAGGGTATTCAACGAGTCAGAGCCGTGCAACGCTCCGGCCATCCAGCTGAACCCTTGGACGGTGGACAGCTTTGTACGAAACGTCAACATCACGGGCTTCAATAACTGCATCGACGTGCAATACAACGTGAGCCGGATCACAATCGAGAACGCAAGCTTCTTTCGCGATCGAGACACGGACAGACCTGGCGGCTACCCGACGGACATCAACATTTCTGGCACGCAGGTCCTCATCAAGGACAGCGGCCAGTATGGCCGTAAGACGGCTAAGGCGTTCACCGTCATTACACAGGCCCGCGCTCCGGGGCCTAACGCCGTCCTACGCCATCACGTACAATCAGACCTCCAGGAACTCTACCCACATCAACGTTGGGCTCACGGCTTCCTCGTAGAAAATACCAATGCCAATGTCATGTTCGTCAATCGCGGCACCGCAGGATCAGGTCAAGGATGGCCCATCAGTGCAGGAGTGGCCTGGAATGTCAGAGGAGGCGTCAATATCTCAAGCCCTCCGCTTGGTATCAACTGGGCAATCGGTAGCACTGGGCCTGTTGAATTGGTGTCGAATGGAACTCTGGTAAGCAATGGCACTGCTGTCACGCCGAAAAGCCTTTATAATGCACAGCGTCAAAAGAGAAAGGGAACAGCTTAATCTGCCGGAAACTGACTTCGGGGGGGAGGGGCCGGCCTATCTCAGCAATGGTAATCGCCTTCTTCTCCTTGATCAAGTATTCCGTGTTCTCTATACGATAGAGTGTAGTTGCCACTACAGGATATCTGATAGACATGATAATTAGACAAATTTTAGTTCAAAAGTAGAACGATGGTGCAATGAAATATTAAAAGTCAAGTAATATTGACCGTAGTGGTTAGCTCACTATTTCCACCTCGAGTCTTTTACCATCTGCTTCAAGATTCGCGTTAGGATAGTGCTAAAGAACGACTGAAGGCGACTTGTGCTCCAACATATTGCCCTACATATGTCCCGAGAATCATTTAGTATTTCAAATGTCAGCGGAAAAGAATAGCCTTAGTTTTTCCTATTGTAAATGTATATTACATGACGAACAACCGAGCTTCTGATAAAAGCTGGGTCCATCTTATTCCGTTATCTGTTTTAACCCATATCTGCGGCAAATGCTTTATCCCTTTGAGCAAATTGGCGAACCTGCTCTGGCTATAGCGTTTGACTAGGACCTCCTTAAAGAAAACCCGGTGTCTTTCCGACGAGCTGGCAGCAGCAACCAAAAATATCGCCCAGACCAGAACGTGGGCACCCGGCCCATCCGCTGGTAGTTGTTCCAGTGTTATCTTGAAATGCTCTATACGACCTTCAGGATCGGTATCTACCGCGCGCCTTTTCTCATCATCGAGGGCCCAACTAGGTGAGTCCAGTCCTTGGAGGTATATGTCGTGAGCTTGCTGCATCACGTCCTCGATAGCGGCAAGCCGAACGTTACCTTGGGACTGGCTCTGAGAACAGTATCGAACACAGTCAAAGTACTGATCCCATTGAGATTGAGAGGTGAGAGTTTCTAAGCCTGCCATTTCACTGATGTGGGGGGCGGCGTAGACTCGCATTCTAGCACAGTGATTAGCTCAACTCTTCATGACAACAATTTACCAAACTCGAATCGATGATCAGAGCCACGGTAAGCATGGAAAAGGGGTTGAGGGAAAGTAACCAGGATAAGACCTACTTCTGTACCTGGCGAGCCAAGAAGCGACCTAGCTCACTGGCCCATAACTCATCTTCACCTTTGAAGACATCTGTTGCGGAATGCAACATCCCAAGAATCATGAAGTAATCATCTCTCCCCGTCACCATGGCCGCAACTAGCAGCACAAGGACCGCCACCAGAATGGCTTGTTTCGCTTCATAACTGCTCCCGGCTAGATTGCTGCGCCTCCGTAGTCCTTTGATGGCTGTATTATACAGGGTCTGTGGGCTGCTAGCAATCGAGTCTAACCAACGCGACTGCTGCTGGGATGTATACTGTAAATTGGAGCCGCTGATTTGAAAGTATTCCGCCCAGTCTGGGCTTTTCTTGGCATCTCGGTGGAAAGCCGATACGGCGAGAACGGCCTCCATAACCAAGTCGTCGTTGTGAGCCAATGGAAGAACGATGTACCTCCAGCCGTTGTGACTTCCATCGATCGCTAGCATTTCGCTAGCAATGTGCTCCGAGTCTTGTTGAGACAAATGAGTTAGTCTTTCTCTCGTGGGTCGAGCGGATCCATAACATCGGCTTCCACCAATGAACTCACAATGCATAAGCAAGGCTTTCTTCCATGATGGAACATCATCGAGCAGAGACTCCGTGAGGAGGAGGTCAGCCGGACTAATAATGGAAGATTCGACGGCGGACAGTGAATAATTTTCGGTATCTTTTGACGACCCCTCACGCTCGTCTGTTTGCAAGGTCCAGGAAGCCTCTTCGGTCGTCTCTAAAAAGAAGTTTGTGTAGTCATCGAACGAGTTCAAAAGAAGCGGACTTATCACGCCGGCGTAGAAATTCTCATCACCAAAACCGAACGCTATGAGCTGACTTGTCTCCTGTCTTGGTGACTGGGCAGAATCGTGGCCCGCAGAGCTCAGCCCCTCGGGCGAGTCCCTAGCACTTGAGGATTCATGCTTGCTAGTCACCTTCGCCTGGCTTTGAAGGCGGCTAGAGAAGGATATTAGCATAGAGGAATCACTGAAGCTGATATGATGGGAGCAGTGTTACTTTTCACAGAGACTTTGGATAGTGTGGCCTCTCCACTTGCCACGAGTGCTAACCCCTTGAGTAAAACGATATCGAATACCAACATCACTACCACTGCATGTAAGGCCCTTAGAACGGCATTTATTGCACTGTGGAGTGGTTCGGTCGCAGGAGACGCGACGCTGTGAGCACTCATAACAGCCTGTATTTCCGATCCGTGGTCAGTGTTCTTATCGAGGCTGATAAAGGATGAGAGTACCAGCGAAGACAACAGGGAGAGAAACCACACACTAACCTTTGACTTTGGGGCGGTAAGGTCGCTTTCGCTGAGGCATGTCTGTGCTTGCCTCGTTTTGGCGAGTGTGGGTGGCTCAGGGCTAATCGTTATCACAGCTAAGGTCTCGTAGGATCAAATTGGGAAGTTGAGATGAGCTCTATGATGGATGCTGGCAATGATGGAGACGTACGTGCTGCTTGGGAATATTGGACGAATCCCTGTGCAAAAACGACAGTATCTCAAGTGGGCTGGCAAGAAGCAAATAAAGTCCCTATCTCCGATCTAGGATACTGATTTCCATGGCGGACGCGGGGTAACGGAATGGTCTAGATCCCGGGGTGATCCATGATAACGATGTGTTTGCCCACGGGTGTGATTGGCTAGGCAGTTGGGTGGTCTCTCTCGACTTGCCTTAAAAGGAATAATTAACCATGTACCTGAGTCAGTCTGATAAGCGAGCCTCGCTTATGTAAGAGAGTGCGTTAGCTTGTTATGGACAAGGGCGATCAGAGAAGTCTAAACTTTCCTGCTCTACAGCCACTGACATTCTAGCTTCATATGAACAATAACGAAAAGATTATTCTGTCCTTATATTGAGTACAAGTTTTGATCTAATTCGATCAACATCACCAGGAGTCAGGCGGAATAGTTTGGGAGCTATCTGGACAACAATATGCCGCTCGCGATGCTCCTACCCTATGCAGTCAAACGCCAACATTCAACCACGAGGTTCAACGTCGATCTCATGCTCTATCTCGTCTCGTAATATTAATATCAACATCCACATTATCTAATTATCTGATTTTTATTGAATAATTAAATTGGAAACAACATTGATCGATCTGAATTTAATATTCATCCATTCCGTGTCCATCTACTTCGAAGCTGGTCATTTCTCACTTGAAAAATGAACCTGATTTAGTTAATACTTCGCCAATGAGGAACAGGTGATAGGGGTATAGCTTCTTGACCAAATATTTCAAGTGTTCTTTATCGTAATTAAGACGATTAAATAATTTAGTTATCTATCGATAAAAACCATCTCTTAGCTCATTCAGTCTCTCTCCATAACGAGTTCTCTAAACGAAGTTGATAAGTTTGAGAACTATCGTTGATATCACGAGTCTTATCAACAAAATCATCATTAGCTAAATCCCGTTTTAGGTAGGTTGAGAGAGACCTCTGATAGCCGGATGAACAGGGCTAGCCTGGGCGGGGATAGCAGCACGCTATGATCTCGGATGGCGAACATAACTGCCACTCATATTATCATCTGACTCGGTAATTATGGGGACTATGACCTGCCGATGTCTGGGGAAGTTTGATTCTTCCCAAAATTGGAACGGCCCATTGGCCTTGGACCTCTTAGATGTACCTTGAAGCCCCTCTTCGCAGTGTCTGTGACAGCCCTGGCGTTGATTGAATGTCCTAACATAAGGCGCAGTTCCTCCTTCACCCCAGATTACACCGCCCCGCAAATTGGGAACATAACGTACCCCTCGGTCGGATTCATCTCCATCGTTATCTTGAATTGCCCTTTTATGGAGCTCTATGAGTTCGTTGGGTTCTCTAGCTCGATACTTAGCTAGTTATTCTCATCTCATCAGCAACCTGGCTAGGTTAAATAGAGAGCCAGGCCTCCTTCTCCTCAGCCTTCACTTCCTCAGCTGACCTTCCAACAAACCACTCTTCAGAGCTGAAATACCTACCGAGGACCTCTCTTTCTTTCTTTTTTTCAAACTTTTCTTACTTTCCTTGAACTTTCTTCGTAATTGAAGCGTTTCAGAGCCATCATGGCGGTGGCCGGATCGGTGAATAAAGAGATTGAGGAGGACCGTACATCTGCACGCGATGCAGATAACCAACCGTACCGTCAACAGCAGACAAAACGCGGTCTGTCTCCTCGACATGTCCAGCTTATGATGATTGCCGGAGCCATCGGAATTGGACTCTTTGTTGGTGTTGGCGGTGTGCTCCGCAAGGCCGGGCCACTCCCTCTCATCATCGGCTATATCATCTACGGTGTCGGCTTTATCTATCCCACATCGCTTGCTGTCGCCGAGATGCTCGCCTGGCTTCCCCTCCGTGGCTCCATCTACGAACTGGCTGCTCGCTATGTCGATCCCGCCCTTGGTTTTGCCATGGGGTGGACCTATTTCTTTGCGGGCGCGATGTTGGTATGTACTGAGTATTCTGCGGTAGCAACTGTCATACAGTTCTGGAACACATCGGTCAACCCAGCCGTATGGGTTGCCATAGTTATGGTGGTTTGCGTGCTGCTCAATTTGGTTGCTGTGAAGTAAGTTGTCTCCATCCCAAGTCCCTTTATGTCCCTACCTTCTTTACTAATCTTCTATGTAGATGGTATGGCGAAAGCGAGTTTGTCATGTCTTCGACAAAGATCCTCCTACTTATCGGTCTTGTTTTCGCCACAATTATTACCATGGCTGGAGGGAACCCAAACCACGATGCTTATGGCTTTCGTCATTGGTCTGGAGGCAACTTCGTACATTCCTACTATGCAGAAGGGGCAACAGGCGTCTTTTTGAGTATCTGTATTTCCGTCCGATACGCTGGCTTCACTGTCGCTGGTCCTGATATCCTGGCACTCGCCGCCGCAGAGATGAGAAACCCTCGGAAAACGATCCCTTCAGTCGCAAAAGTGATCCTCTACCGAATTGTTGGCGTTTATATCATCGGTATTGTCGCTGTCGGAATTATCTGCTCATCTCGTGATCCGCGCCTGATGGGAGCCATCGACTCAGGTGAGGCGGGAGCTGCTGCATCACCCTGGGTTTTAGGTCTCATGAATGTAGGAATCTCAGGATTTCTCCCCGGATTTATCAATGCCCTCATCATGCTCTCTGGATGGTCGTGTGGAAATGCCTACCTGTACAGTTCCAGCCGCACTCTCTACTCCCTGGCTCAGGATGGAAAGGCTCCCAAGATTCTTCTTAAGTGCACTAAGTCTGGTGCACCTTGGGTTTGCGTTATGGTGGTCAGTGCAATCTCTTGCCTCTCTTTCTTGGTCGCCTCCAATGGCACCATCGAGGTGTTTAACTGGTTCCTGGACCTGACCACCGTCTCCCTCGTTGTCAATGCTACAGCAATGTCCTGGGTGTTCCTGGGCTGGCGTCGAGCACTGAAGAAGAAAGGGATTCCGCTCATTGGCAAGAACCACTTCAAAGCCCCAGGCCGGTTGTCAAAGCTCCTTGGCCGAAGGCATCAGCATCCGGAGGTTAATGATGAGACCATCATTTTCCCATACATCGCTCCTGGGGGTTGGTTCTTTCCCTACACTTGTCTACTGTTGGGTAGCTGTGTTTGTTTTTTCATCGGATTTGATGTATTCTACCCATTTTCCTACCGAGGCTTCATTACAAGCTACTTTGGACTCGCCTGGTTCTTTGGAATGTTTATATTCTGGAAAATCTTTAAGCGCACCAAGTTTGTCAACGCAGCTGATGTGGATATATTCGCTGGTGGACTTAAGCAGGAAATTGATGATGAATGTCGACACTGGGAAGAGGGCGCCGATGATACAGAGAAAGCAACACAATCGGTCAAAAATTGGGTCCGGAAATCCCTGTCGAAACCTACACTCTGATTCAAAACACGGAAGATGTTGAATCGCAATTTGCCTCACAAAGATAGATCGAGGAGTGTTCGGATGGTCTTGTGATTCTAGTCATTGTCCATCACCTGTAAACAGGGTATCTACCGAGAGCCCAGTGATAAATAACCTTGAAATTATGAACCTGAAGTAACAAAGGATCATGAGATGTTTCCACAAGTGGTGAGATAACATAATAATGTGTAATGGACTAACTACAACATGAACTCGTTAATTCCGAGCGACAGTAGGCCGCGGGTTTAGACTCTTCTTAACCCCGGGGTCTATCCATGGGGTTTAGTGTGAAAAGTGCAGATCACGTGAGTAATCGCGAGAGAATTTCAAAATGATGTAACAATGCATGGACGTTATTCTGCTTACGCATCCGCATAACGACTGTGTGCACTATGTTGGTCAGTTGAATGAGATACAGATGCGGAAATTCACATACGTGCGATGTCTATGAAACTGGTCGTACTAATTGTTTTTGGTAACGTGTCCAGTCGTTGACGTGATTTAAATAACTCAACGTAACGATGATGCTATATGCAATTAGTAATGGCCGGGAGTAGGATTTAAGACTTCCCCTCCCTCGTTCCCATCTTTTTCTCCCGCCATCAATCGTCTCTTTTTTTACAAAAAAAGTCTTCTTTTCCTCGGCCGAGATTTATCCCGATTCAAAATGTCGCCAGTTCGATCCGCCTATGACCCAAAGGACATGGAGTTCCGCCACCTTGGCCCTACTGGGCTCAAGGTGAGTGTCCTGTCACTGGGAGGATGGTTGACGTACGGAGGTACCCAGAAGGGCAGCATCGTCAAGGAGTGCCTGGAGACCGCCTGGAACCATGGCATCAACACCTTCGACACGGCTGAAACATATGCCAACGGCGAGTCCGAGGTAGAGATGGGCCAAGCCCTGAAAGAGCTCGACTGGCCTCGGGACGAGTACGTTCTCACCACCAAGATCTTCTTCGGAACGGGTCGCAAGGAGCCAAATACGCGCGGTCTGAGTCGCAAGCACATCGTTGAGGGGCTGAAGAGCTCTCTCCAGCGTCTTGACCAGCCCTATGTGGATATTGTATTCGCCCATCGGCCAGACTATGCCACTCCGCTGAGGGAAATCGTTGAAGGGTTCACCCAAGTCATTCGCAATCTGAACCTTGCATACTACTGGGGCACCTCGGAGTGGAGTGCCGCACAAATCACCGAGGCAACCCAGATTGCTGAACGCTATAACTTGATTGCACCAGTCGTGGAGCAGCCCCAGTACAATGCTTTTCACCGCGAGCGTTTTGAGGTCGAGTACGCTCCGCTCTTTAAGCAGTTCGAGTATGGAACTACCATTTGGTCGCCGCTTGCATCTGGTCTCCTGACTGGTAAATACAACAATGGCATCCCAGAGGACTCCCGCTTCGCTACCAACAAAGCTTTTTTTGAAAAGAGCATCGAAGCGCTGAAGACCGAGGAAGGAAAGGCTAAGATTGAGAAGGTGAAGAAGCTCACTTCTGTTGCGGAGAAGCTGGGAGGAAATGTCTCCCAGCTCGCTCTGGCTTGGTGTCTCAAGAACCCCAATGTTAGCACCGTCATTCTTGGAGCGACAAAAGTTCACCAGATTGAGGATAACTGCAAAGCTCTTCAGCTCTCCAAGAAGTTGACGCCAGAGATTATTGAGGAGATCGAAAAGATTCTAGACAATGCACCCACTGGACCCCCCACATACGGTCGGGAGAGGTGAAAAGACATCTCCGTATGAATAAATATACAGCTATTTATACCATAATTAAGTTTTCAGGTATCAAAGTCCAATGGAACCGTCAATTCATTCCTCATCAATCTCTTTTGCCTGTTTCGCGTGTTTCGCTGCGACACTGAGTTCCTCCACATTAGACATGTCGGCCGCCCCAAATAGCTCATCCATTCGCTCCAAAGAGATCTAGAAAGTAAATTCATGTTAGTCCCGAGTAGCCAAGATAAATTCCTCATACTTGCAAGGATGAATTTGTACTCACGCCTTTGGTTTCTGGGACCCAAAAGGCAAGAATCGCCATGGTGAGATTGAGGGATCCAAAAATAAAGTACGCCCCAAATGGCGTGGAGACCAGCATCACTGGGGTCGCCTTTGACACTGCGAGATTATGAACCCAGTGCGTGAACGAGGCCAAGGCAACGTTATAAGCTCGCAGACGGTTTGTTGGTATTTCAGAAACGTAAATCCATGCTAACGCCGACAAATAAGAACAGGCACGTTGTGAAGCAAGGTACTGCTGAAGCTAAAGTTTACTCACATACGGGCCCCCAACCCATGTTGAAGGCAGCGGCAAAGATATATACCATAGCTAGAGCAGCAATGCCAGCTGGGGGTGGCCTATCATTCTCGCCAATCTTTGGTCCGAACCGGACATACTGCTCATGTCAGTTTAATTGTGCCAGAATCCCGGGTCTCTTCTACTCACAAATCCTAGGAAGAACATGCAAAAGCCCTGTAAGGCACCACTCCACATGAGAGAAAGACGGCGACCAAGAGAATCGGCAAGGAAAAATACAAATATCAAGCAGGTGACCACCTTGACAATACCATATATGCCTTGGGCGAAAAGGGCCGTAGTTGTACTGGAAAGGCCAAGGTCTCGGAAAATGGTGGGGGCGTAGTAATTGATGGCACCAGTCTTGAAGAACACGTATTAGTATCACTCGATATTAATTACGAAAAGATAGAAAATAGAAAATGAAAGGACTGACCCCGGACCATTGCTGGAATGTAATCATACCAACAGTCAACAGTGCTCGCTTCCGATTTGTAGGGACCGTCCAGCACTCCTTTTGTAGGGACCAAAAGCCTACACCCTGCATGGCGGCCTTTTCTTGATCCAGCTGCGTTCGTAATTCGAGAAGCTCCCCCTGTATATAAGGGTGTTCGATAGGAAGGTGCCGGACATCCGACAATACGGCGCTCGCTTGATCCCACCGGTCTTGAGAGGCGAGCCATCGCGGAGATTCGGGACACCCTAGCATGCTGAAGAACAAAAGAGCAGGGCATATTGACTGGCAGGCCAGCGGAACCATCCATGTAGCCATAGGCTGCTCAGAGAGAGTACGATTAGCAATCTTCGTTCGAGCAGGTCTAGCAGAGATACAGATACTCACCGGAAGATGTAGCAAAGCGCCATAGTTAATGAAATATGCCATCATCCCGCCCATGACCAGGAGAAGCTGGAAGAATCCAACTAGAAAGCCACGAATGGCACGAGGAGAGTTTTCGGAAACGTAAGTAGGCGCAAGCATTGTTCCCGCGCCTAGCCCTAGGCCTTCAACAAATCTAGCCATCATCTTAGCCTCATGAATAGGAAAGCCATCTGGCATAGTTCCTACCTTCCGATGTAAAAAACTGATAGATGGCCATATGAAAACGCTTGCATGAGCCCACCAATAAATCCCGTAATGGCAACGGCGATAAGAGCAGGCTTTCTGCCTTTGCGATCGGCAATGGGACTGGAGAGAAGGGCTCCAGCCACAGCTCCAGCTTGCATGGTGGTGACGAGGTTGCCTGATAGATCGGCGGCGGCTTTAGGTGGTTGAGTATCAAGACCGAATTCACTGTCGACCAAACAGTTAGCCACACACCCTCAAGGCACATGTCCATGGCGACAAGACATAATTACCGCTTGAAGTCAGGCATTGCTAAGACGCCACCAATGATTCCTGCGTCCACTCCAAAGAGTGCTCCAGCAAAACATGCCTGCGCAGTAATAAGATTAACAGTTGATGGGATAGAATTTGATAATGAATTCTACTTACCGAAGCGGCCAAGGCAAGAACACGCCAATTGTAAATCTCAGGGGGATCAACACGGATGGCTTCATTGCGAACAACGCGCCGTAGAACCGAGTGAATTGTCATGTTCGTTGAAGTGTAAGATGTGAAGATAGGAAGGGGTAGCAAACTTCCTGCAAAGCACCTTTACCTGGTCTAGCAGTTGAGAGCCTTTGGCTGTTCCCAGTAACGCAATTGCTGTTGTAAGGTAGAGATAGTTGTTTCTGAAGATGGCGTGATATTATGACGACTAACCAAGGCACGCGAAGTAAACCCCATTAAATTATCTGCTGGATGTAGCAGCGCCCTTTGTTATGGGGATGGAAGCCTGTGTCAAGGAGCTGTTCATCTAGGTGCGTTGAATTGAACTCTAGAAAAGTTGCGGGAATTGGAGGGGCATATTAATGGCGCGACTCGTGCTTATCAAGTGGCAGTTGATTTCTGTGACAAGGGCATACAACGCAAGGCTGCTCTCCCATATCGAGGGACTGCCGAGGTGGCGGAATAAGTGCAGAGAATCGAGTACCGTAAACTTCTTTGGCTGGAAGTTAAGCTCCTGAAGTGATTACCCCCTGACAATATGTGTCACAACCCCACATCCCCGGATTCTGAGTCGAGAGAATGTGCAGGGGAAGAAATTGGACTTCCCGCCGGGGATGGTCGGCTCTGGACCGGCCTTCACATGCAGCCGGGGAGCATCGGGCTAATTCCGACGCGCCAAGTATCTATTGTCGGCTGTCTCTCATTCTAATTACTGACACTTTCCCCAAGCATTTGGGAAGTTCCGACAATAAACGATGGGGCATGTGAGTAAGAACATCCCTGCTCCACAGATTTTTCACGCCATCTGAAGGGATTGTGTAGTTCTTTTTCACACTCAACCCGGGGGCCATTCGTAGACGAATTGTACGATGGCAGAAACTTTCAGATATCATAGTTGGCCTTTTTATTGTTAAGCTTTTTCAAAACTTGCCCATATTTGTTCTAGCTCTAAGCCGAGCGACGACGCTGGCCACCTGCACCTGTCACGACAAGATTCAAGCATTTCGAGAAGGCAGACTCTCTGACGATCATCTTGCATAAACATGCCAGCTATTATTGGGAAAACGTCAATTCAAGTTCGATAAATCTCATAGGATATACCTACCAATGAACAGGCACTGTGAAGACATCATACTTGATGCGTCTTCTGTCAGGGTCAGACCTATACCACAGACGAGCTCTATGCTGTCCTGGATTGTCTTTTGCCGGTGCATGAACTTCTCCATGCCGCCCAAACTTGGCTCATGAGCGCAGACAAGAATTCTCGAAACGTAATGAATCTGCATGGCCAAGCCTAGGATTGCAATTAGCACGGAGAAAGACTCTGCGGGGATGAAGAATATACCAAAGCTTTGAGGGTGTATGAGTCGCGGTTTGAAAACTTGACTTCCATAGCGGGTCATAGCGGGCAACTCGGAAAACTCAATCGTCAGATGCGATTCCCACTCCTGGAGCATCTCCTTGAGAGCCCTCGCCCACTCAATTCTTCCGACAAAAGTTCCTTCTGTCTCTTCGGATGGGCCAACAGCACAGAAATTTATTACCTGAGCCAGTATCCAAACCGCACGTGAAGCCAACTCATAACTATTCAGGTCCGAACACGCCTTCTTAGGTGTCCATGTGCTGTATGTGCGACGCCTTCCCCTCAATGCCGCCCAGATATCCTGACGCAGCCAAGCCCACCATGTCGTGCTTTCAAGGCTCGAGACTTCCACTTCGATCTGCCGCGACCGAAGAATCCAAAAGACTCCCTGGAGATGCCGTTGCCAATCCTGCCGGGATCCTCGAAGCATCTCGTACGTTGAGATGATGAGAGTAGTCGCCATTAGCTCTTGACTACGCTGATATGTAGGATAACGCATAGCTTTCTGGACGTAATGTAGAGTCTGGTAATAATACTGGAGTGCGCTATTCTGACCTATACGTTCTTCTTGGGGTATTGTTTCGTCGAGCGACTGATGATAGCCGGACAAAGCCAAGATAGCATTTAGCAAGCCCGCATTCCGGGCTGCAAGGCGTGGAACTATTGTCGAGAACGTCCGGGCGTTGTCAAAAAGATCAAGCTAGTTGAGAAACATGAGTAGCCAAATTGATAGAAATACCATTCACATAGAGAACAACATACCCATAAGCATATTCGATGGATAAAGTTCTCAAATAAGATCTGTTCTCTTTCAAGCAATGAGATGCTTTCTGATGCCTGCCACATATCTTGCTCACAACTACCCTCATTTGCAAGATCTTTTTCCAGGTGTTGATCATCGATGAGTTTAGTTGCACGTTGCAACTGTGTCATGTCATTATCATCTTGGCCGTCCAGCGGACCTGGGAATCCCCATTCGACACTAGGCGAGACATCCCTCTCTTGAAGCTCGTCACGGAATAGCCCAAACCAGCGAGCTGCAGCCACACTCACAGACGCGGTGCGAGGCGTTAGTGGTGAGTCTGCTTGTTGCTGTATTCCATGATTATCAACCCAATCAAGGGTTTCGGCAATTCCGCTTGTAGGGATGTTAGGCACAGAAGACGGTACCAGAGATGACGCCGCTGCTTCTGACGACTGCGTTGCTGCAATGGAGCGAACGACTTCCAATAGGTTACCTTGCGAGTCCAGAACCTGTCCCAGCTGCCGAAGGATTTCGAGACTGGCAGGATCGAATGAAGAATGGTCCCTCTCAGTATCATCATAGGAGCAAGAGATGCTGATTGAGGCGCAGAAGCCGCAAGTGGGCCGTACGTTGTCGCACTTGGTTTTTCTTGCGCGACACACATGGCAAGCTTTCGAGCTCCTCTTACGCGGGTACCGGGCGTCTGAAGGTGGATTTGCAGGGCGTTTCCGTGATCCTTGAGCCTCCGACTCTGCAAGGGGAGGGCCCCGTTCCGGTAGGGGATGCTCAGACATGTGGAACGCGATCAGACTCCGAAATGCGACCAATTAAAGACAGTAGTAGAGATTCGCACCGCCGTCGGAGAGAGTTGAGGGTGGATAAGCATACGTTGAGTCTGAATTCGAGGCGATGCAGAATGAGCAGGGTTCGGGGAGGTGTCGGGAGGGGATGAGTTTGAGGATGGCCAATCTCTCCCACAACCCCGCAATTGGACAGGACACCCATGCAGATTAATTTAGTTTATGCGGTCACGATGGACATTCCCAAGAGGAGATGGCCGGCCTGGGGGATGGAATACGGACCCGAATCGCGAAGGCGTGCCAAGAGTCTAGACTACTATGCCGATTTCGGGGACCGTCGGTAGCAAGTATGAGGAACTCGTTGCTTGTAGCGAGGTGGCGGGATTTGATAACAAGATGTTGGCTTTGGTACCATATAAGCAGGCCCAGGTCTCGGTACATCCATGCTTCCATCGCTATCGGTCACGTCCAGTCGCTGAGGCTCTATCCCCTCATCTTAGGCCCTTTATTGGCTGATCGGTTGAGTTGTTCCCGTTTTATTAATCTCTCGCAATGGGTGAATTAAAGATCAATGGCAGCACCCCAGCCAGGCCGTGGCAGAGCACTCATCCCGAAGCCCAGCCTCGAGACTTCTCGACCGACATTCTTGTTGTCGGTGGTGGTCTCGGCGGGGTGTCCGCAGCCCTTGGCGCATTGCGCAGAGGACGCCGCGTCTTCTTGACTGAAGAGTATGAGTGGCTGGGCGGCCAACTTACTAGTCAAGCCGTGCCCCCAGACGAGCACAGCTGGGTTGAGCAGTTTGGAGTGACCCGGTCCTATAGGGCCTTGCGTGATGGAATTCGCCAGTACTACCGGGATCATTATCCCCTGACAGACGAGGCAAGACGAAGACCACAGTTGAATCCAGGTGCCGGCCATGTCAGCAAGCTTTGCCATGAACCTCGCGTCGCAGTCGCAGTCATCGATACCATGCTCATGCCGTACATCGGGAGTGGAAAGCTCGTCGTAAAGAAGCGCACAAGACCTGTCTCGTGCGAAGTGGACGAACAAGGCATCGTCCACAGCGTCACATTCCGCCGTCTCGATAACCCAGGCATCTTTACAGTTCAATCCAGCTATGTGATTGACGCCACGGAGCTTGGAGATCTTCTGCCTCTATCCAAAACTCCTTATGTCACTGGATTCGAGTCACGCCAGGATACCGGGGAGCCCAGTGCCCCTGACGAGGCACAGCCGCAAAACTCCCAAGCTGTCTCAATCTGTTTCGCAGTTGAGCATATCGAGGGAGAAGACCACATAATACCGAAGCCTCCGAACTACGACTTTTGGCGCAAACGACACCCCGATTTTTGGGGCGCACCGCTGCTTGGTCTAAAAGCGCCTCATCCACGCACACTTGAGATTGTTGAACGCGAGTTCACTCCGAATCCCAACGATGACCCGGCATTGGTTTTTGCAGACCAGCGCAAGTCTGGCGGAGACATGAATCTTTGGACTTTCCGCCGCATCGCCGCGCGCGACAATTTCACTCCTGGAGCCTATCAATCGGACGTGTGCCTCGTCAACTGGCCCATGATTGATTATTTCGAGAAACCCATCATTGACGTGACAGAGGATGATCTTGAAGAGCGCCTCAGCGAAGCCGCTTCCTTGTCTTACAGCATGCTCTACTATCTACAGACGGCGTGCCCCAGAGCAGACGGTAGGGGCACGGGCTACCCAGGACTTCGGCTGCGAGGCGACATCACAGGGACAGAACATGGATTGGCAATGGCGCCGTACATTCGAGAATCGCGCCGAATTAAGGCCATCACCACTATTGTTGAGCAGCATCTATCTTTGAAGGTCCGTGGCGAGAAGGGGGCAGTCCAGTATCCCGACAGCGTGGGAGTCGGCATGTACCGCATCGACCTCCATCCATCTACTGGTCAAGACAACTACATCGACGTCGCGTGCTGTCCTTTCCAAATCCCATTGGGTGCATTGATCCCACTGAAACGGTCCAACTTGCTGGCGGGCTGCAAAAATATTGGGACCACGCACATCACCAACGGGTGTTACAGACTCCATCCTGTTGAGTGGAATATTGGCGAGGCAGCAGGGTTGCTGGCTGCACACTGTCTGGACACGGGGCTCTCGCCGCACCAAGTTCAGGGAGACGCCGGGTTATTCAGCGAGTTTCACAAGGTGCTACTCCATGAAGGTATTGAAACTGAATGGCCTGACGTTTCCGGGTACTGAAGAAGTCACGAGCTGCCTCAAGTCCAAATGTTTACAACAAGAAGTGCAAACTCCCATCAGGTGGCCATGCACCGGTGACATTACCCCTTCCACTGCCCAGCAGACACCAGAAGCAGTAACAGACGCCCTCTGCAGGGCCTGTAACTGCCAGTAGAATCTTTTGAGGCTAGGCGCTGAAAGCATCTCGGAGGTGTCTTGGTCGTGGCCCTTGTTTTGAAATGGAAGGGACCCCGGTTTATTCGTGAGAGCAGAAAATGCGTGTGCGCTTGAGGAAATCCGGTTCACACTGACTTCTCGCTACTCTGGCCTGAGAAACTAAGATAGTTAAGACGACTGAAATACTTCACGCACTGGAAGGTATGAAAATAAATTCTGGCTTGATTTGATCTTAGTTTTGAAATGTAGCCAAGTATTATGATCGTGGTCGCGAACGATCTTTCTAAGGAATGTAGGCGTCAACCAAAAATTGGTAAATGTCCAAGTCACAAATGCGAAGGCAAGGCCTCGGAACAACTCTTTATCATTGATATTATTATTTTGATATGGGTGAGAGTTAGAGTACGAAGATAACAGTAGCAATGAAAGATGCCAGATCCGGCAATGAATGATACCTGGGAATATCTTTCTAGTCTCTATTTGAGAAAACAATCATCAGAGGCGCTAGTGCTAGCGTGAAATTGTCTTGTTTGCCGTCCAAGAAAGCTTCGGCAGACACCCCTGGAGCAAATTTGACAACATACTTCCGCAATATAGTCGAGACGACGTGCCGGATTTCCATCAGGCCTAGGTGTTTTCCGATGCAAGAGTAACGACCTGTCACCCAACTCCATTAGCCTGTGCTCGGTGTAAACGAAACGAAAAAAAAAGGGCAGAAACATACCGACAGAGAAGGGCACAAATGCCGCACTATTTTTTACCAACTCCGGATTCGTTGTCCATCTTTCGGGAATAAAGTCATTGGGTGAAGCAAAGTTTCTCTCATCTAGGGTGAAGTGAGTTAGGAGGATCTAAATCGACAACGTGAGATATTAGATATGTTAAACTTACCTCGACACATTGTGTGTGTAGGAACTTGAACAATAGTATTACCAGGGATAAAGTGTTTGCCGATTTGAAGGCCTTCAGGAGGAGTCACCCGCTGAACTCCCGAAGGTACTGGAGGGTGAAGACGCAGCGTCTCATTAATGACCGCATTTAAGAACGGCAGTTTAGATAAAGACACGGAGTCTACTGTATCAGGGACGGCGTAGACCTCATCGATCTCATTTTGGAGACGCGTGATGATTTCCGGCCGACGGCAAAGTTCGTAGAAAAGACACGTAAGAGATGCTGCTGTTGTATCACTGCCAATCAAGTTAGAATAACACAACCTAGAAATCAATGTGCATTTCAGCTGACCTTCCAGCTACAGCAATAAGGGCGGCATCTCCTGTCAAAAGAAGCTCATCCTGGAAAGTAGGTTGCTTGCTATTGTGGTCTTCCAAAAGCCAAGAGAACACATCGGGCCTATCTGGCGTCATCTGTGATAAAGATCAGCAAACAGCCAGAATCAAGGAATGACCGAGTTTAGCATCACTTCAAAAACGTACACTTTTTCTTCCGGTGACTTGAGATTGTATCCAGCCCCAGAACGACTTTGAATCCCTGTTTAGAACAGGGATGCCCTTCAACACGTCAAGAAGCCACACGAGATGGCCGAAAGCCCCAACAGTGGCCATGAACTCATGCAGTGAGTTCATAAAGTGGTGCTTTACACCGCCTCGTAGCATACCGAATGACTTGCCCCAAGCCAAGTCCCCCATAACGTCGAAGCTGTAAAAATTGAACCAATCAGTGACATTGACGGGGTTTCCCTCGGTTGCTGCTAAATGCGAAAGAAGTTGCTCTGCGTAATCGACGACTCGGGGTTCATAGTCCCGAAGGGCTTCGTCAATCAGGTTAGTCAGTTATTTAGGCCTTTGTATGAAGATTGGGGTCCATAGACATGTAGCCGTACCTTTTGCGCTGAAACCACGGTCCCATATCCGCCGGCGTTGCACGTGATGTGGCTTGCTTCTGATCATCTGGAGCGATATCATGGGATTGTTGATGGTATACCAGGGGCCCTTGGCACATGTAGACTTGGGGCCGTGAATTGCCATGACTGCCTCCGGATCAGCTATAGACAGCTCTGATGGCCCTAATCGAAATATGTGTGAGCTATGTCTATGTCATTACCTAGAACACAATCAATCTAGCCTTACCAATGCGCACGAAGTCACCGTGCTCTTGGTGAAGCTGCTCAACTTCCTCGTACAAGTGCGATCTCTTGACCGAAAGATATGTAATGTAGAAATTAGAGAATCTCGCTAAGAAAGGTCCTGGAAAAGCAGACAGCCTGTGGAATAAGCCGCGATAGAGTGCCATGCTGGCGAAGACTCCCGAGACGGCCAGTAGTCCAAGCGTGGTAACGACGTTGACTGATCTATACACGGAGAATGGCGGCTCGTCCTGTAGCGGCACTGTGGCTAGTACAGTAATGGCGCCAAAGTAAAGCGAGAATGTGGAGAGAATAATCTTCCAGGTCATTGTGTCCCATTCGCCACATCGAAAAATGAATAGGTGGCATGCCATGCCTGCCAGAAAGGCGGCTATGCGAGAGCCTATGAAAATATGCAACATGATGAATAAGTTATCGGTCGTCTTTGATTTGTCTTCGGCTGTCTACTAAAGTGTAGTGAGCTTACAAAGTAACTCGAAGCATCGGAGTTTCCCAAAGCTCGTGATTTATATACATGAGTATTGTCAGTGCTGCTGCATCACTGATATTGCTATCAACCCAGTCAGAGACACTGTGAAGATCTTACATCGGCTCTTCCTCTATGTCAGGGCGCCCTGAGTCAGTCAGCCTCAAAGCTGTAGACAACCGACCGCTCCCCACATTCCCGCTTTTCCAGATCTGGGGAAGATGCGGGGTATAACGCAGATCCAACAGGGTTGAACCGAGGCCAAAGTGACCTCTCGGATCACGATATCTCAGGGGTACAACTTCTCGGCTGCGCTGCTACCCAAATCCACGTTCTCCACATTCTCAAGACATCTTCGAGTCGCCAGATTTACTGCCGGAAACATGCCATCACCCCATGCAACAACCGCGCATGCTCAACCCGATGCGAGTAATGCTGGCATGAGTCAGTCCGACCGCCCAGGCGCTTCTACTGCGGCGGCTCGCCGTGCAAAGAAGCGAGAGCAAGACCGTCGATGCCAGCGTTTGGCGCGAGAGCGCACCAAGAATCGAATATCCTATCTAGAAGGCTTGGTCGCGGAGCTGAGACAGGAAGGGACCAACCAGCAGCTTCAGGCGCTGTGGAAGCAGTGTGACGAGTTAGTAGCCGAGCGGGATGCTGCTATTCAATCACTATCTACCATCGAACGATCCATCGCGAACTATAGGCAGACAGCTCTGAGGACACCATCGTCTCGGGGACCACGAGATTTCGACCAGAACCAATCAGCTGCCCTGCAATCATGTCGTCCCACAGCTGAGATAGTACCCAACACTGAAGCAGCTGTGGAGGTTGAGTATGACCCTTCCGACAGCATGGCAGCCATGTCCCCGCCGCCCGTACTCGCACCAGAAGTTCATCAGAACCCACTGATGGGACAAGAGACTATAATCCCTGCTCCTTTAGGCGCCTGTCATTGTTCTCAAGACACCTCCGGTGCCCCTGTAAATCTCTGGAGAGCGGCCAACGAGATTCTGTCAGAGCCACTTCAACTTTCCTTTTCACTAATGGACAAGGAGAATTCCCTCGAGCACGATGCGCCGGTGAGGGCCGTGGTTGAAGGATGGGACTCCCTCGTGAACACTGCTGGAGGCAAACTCCCTCCATCGTGGGAAAAGCTACGACAGATCGATGAGCTATTGTTTTCCAGGTGCGGGAATGTTGAAAGACTTGCAATTCTGCGCCTCATGAATGAACTATGCCGCTATCACCAAGACCAGTCGCCAGAAAGGCAGGCTATGCTCCCAAGCTGGTATCTTGCAAGGTATAAACGACTCTTCTCTGTCGATCTCACTCACATCACATCCCCTACTAATCTTTGCCGTAGGCCATCGCAAAAAATAGCCCACTCTTACGCGATCGACTACTTCTCATGGTAAGCATTTGTATCGCCTACAAAAGTGTTTAGTCTATCTAGCTAACCATGTCTCTACAAGGCCCGGTTTGCGCGAGCGATTTATCTTCGAACAACACCGATACTGTACGAATCGATTTTGGAAAACCTTCTCTGATAATCTCCGCATCCTTTGGCCGTTTGAATTTCGCGACTGCTTCAGCCGCAACGTCCACACTGGACAGTACAGCATTTCGCCCGCTTTCCAGGAACGAATCGACGACATCAGGTCCTGGACAATGTCGTCAGACATGTTCAATGCCTGGCCGGAGTTCTTAGCTGATATACCCGTGTACAACCCCATTTGTCTTTCTCTACCGACAAGCCGTTCACATCTCAAGCGGCCAGTCTTACGAAGCCGGGAGTGGCTTGCTGACAGGCCAGAAGCAGAGGGAGGCCACACCGTGCCAGAAGCAGAACCCTGGCTGGTCATGACAGAGCATTACACAGTCGATGGGAGAACAACTGTTGACGCTGAAACACCTTGTATGACGCTGGACACGGGATTCGAGGGTTTGGGTAGCCTTGATGACCTTTTGCTCTTATAAAATTCCTCACTCCTTTAAGGCAGAAAGCTTGGATTTTGCTATTGAGTCGGGGCCCACTTGTCAATTTGGCCGGGTTAGATAAATTAGCTATTTTTCAGCATCCGTAGAAAAAGATATCCTTTTCACCCCTTCTTATTTTCACTTTTGAAAATCCCTTCTTATGAAAGATGTGTCTTTTGCAATGTTACGGCGGCTACGATAGGTTAATTGACTAGCTGTAATATAATCTACAAGTAAGCTAATTATATAAGTAAGCCGATTACTTCTATCCAGAAATTAGAACTTTCTCTTTATAATTAAATAACTTTCTACTATAAAATAAATATAACTTTATATAAAATAAATATTATCCTTATAATCTAAGCTCTTAATTAAAATCTAAAATTAAGTATTAGAGTAATAATAAAAGTCTATTAAGTTCTATATATAATTCTTTATAACTAATATACTAGTTATATAGTAAAATATAATACTTAATTAAAATTAATAAATCTATTAAAATCTAAAAAGAAAGCTATTATCTTATATATACTTAAGCTATCTATATATATATTTCCTTTTAGAATATATAGTATTAAGAAAATAGCTAATATCCTACTATATATATATAATATATCCCCTATTAATATTAATTAGACTTTTAATTTTATTAAATAGTAACTAGAGCTCTATATATACTAGGTTTAGAAATATAATTATTAGAGAGCTAAATATAAAGATCTAAAGATTATTATATCTTAGTTTAGTTTTATATATAATCTAAAGATAAAATATAATATTCTAAATAAGGATTTATATAACTTTAATAAGATTAGCTTTATAATAGATATTATCTTCTCTAGGATAGTAGTTATAATCTCAGAGAGTTATATAAAAATTAAACTAGTTTAGTCTAGTAACTAGAAGTAAGTAATTATAATTTAAGAGATAAATATAGCTAGCTAGACTATCCCTTCTTTTATTATTCTAGCTATTTAATATTATCTTAAGAACTAGTATTAGAAATATAATCTACTATATAACTAATAGTTTATAATAATTAAGAATAGTTAGACTATTAATAAGATTAATCTAGATTAGATTAAGTATTTTAATTTCTATATAGCTTCTTATATAAAGAGGATATATTAGATACTAATTCTTAATAGCTATAAGAGCTATTACTTAGCTAACTTTAAAATCTACTATTAAGAATAGAAGATTATTATAATCTATATACCTTCTTACTCCTTCTACTTTCTTTAGCTACTAGATATTAACTATTTTAGACTACTTAAATAATTATATAGATAAGAGATTAAGAGTCTAATATAGATATATATTATCTATATTAGTAAGCTTAAATTTCTCTCTATCTTTTATATAGTTTTCTTCTACTTCTTTATAGAGAAGAATATCTAGATAAGCTTTATTAGATCTAGTCTAATACTATATAATCTAGAGAGAGTTCTTTTAAAGCTAGATATAGTACTATAAATACTAATACTACTAGAGATTCTATCTAAGATAAGATAGCTCTAGGTTCTAAAAATACTATAGACTATATATAAGATAAATATTAAGTACTAGTAGAATTTTCTAACTAATAATACTATAATTAAAAACTAGGTAGATCTATAGTTATAATATTAATATTAGTTAAAAGAGAGGAATTATAATTAAGCTATATAATTAAAGCTAATAACTATAATTAATTATATATATATTTAGTATTTAGTTAGAGACTTTTATATTTAATTAATTAAATAAGATTATCTAGATTATTATATAAGCTAAACTAGCTATAGAATAATAAGTTAAAGATTATAATTTTAAAAATAAAGAATAATTTAAGAATAAAAATAGTTTTTTATTTTTAGAGTAATAAATAATTTACTATTTAAATAGTATATAGTAAATTACTCTAATTAACTATAGAAATTATATATACTCTTATATCTCCTTAGATATATTATAATAAATCTTATAAGCTTAAAGCTACTCTAATAATATATTAATCTAATAGAGAGTATATACTAAACTAGATTAAATTATATAAAAGAAAAAGAATCTTAGTTAATTAAATTAAAATATTATAATATCTTTTCTCTAGTTACTCTTCTACTAGTAATATTTTCCCCTATTATAACTTCTTATCTATCTACTTATTCTTAATATCTTATTTCTCTCTATTATACTCTCTTATCTTAAGCTTTTATTTAATTAGCTTATAATAGGATAGCTAGTACTAGAGCTCTCTTTCTATATATTTAATTAATTAGTTTAAAAACTTATTTCTAAGTACTAGAATCTATAAGCCTAATAGATATAACTATAATATATATAATACTTATTATATAAGGAATCTTATTATACTTATAAGATTTAGAAAAAGTATTTTCTAGATATATATTAGCTAAATAGTAGAACTAATTAAATATTAGATCTATAGAATTTCCTAGAAGATATTATATTTATCTAGTTTTAATATCCCCTTAAGATATAAAGTTATAAAAATTATCTTATTCTAAATACTAATAATAGATTATCCCCTAGGATTTTAATAATTCTATCTCTATTAAAGTAAAATTAATTAATTCTTTAGTAGTATATATAGAGATATCTAATCTATATCTATTATACTATAATAAAGTATATTAATAGTAGATAAGAGCTTAGTCTTTAGCTAGTAGAGTTCTAGAAATCTCTTTATCTCTATTTATAAGATTAATCTATATAATAGGATTTTTAATTATCTATTTTATCCTAGAACCCAGATTATTAAAAGTATATTTATTATTAAAGATAGATATAAATAAAATAACCCTAATTATATCTATAGTAATTATCTTAGAATAATCTCTATCTCCCTTCTTTTTCTACTTAGTAATCTAATCTATAGGAATAACTTAAGATAGATAGATTTCCTAGGGGTAATTTATAAAGAGTTAGACTAAAGAGTAATTAATTAATAAGCTAGATATATCTATATCTATATAGCTAGCTAGAGGTCTATCTAGAGAAGATATAATAGGAGCTAGTATTCTTAAGCTAGTTATAATAACTAATTATAAGTAGCTATTTCTACTCTCTTAGTTATATAGTCTTCTAGTATTATCTCTAAAGAAGAGCTATACTAGTATAAAGTCTAGTATTAAGTTTATAATTCCTAATTTATTTACTATAATATTTATTATAATTCTGCTTATTTAATTAAGTAAGTTTCTACTAAGAATATTCTAAGAGATAAATTTTAATATATATAAGAGTTAGATTATTATCTAGCTTATAATTAGACTTTTATTTACTTTACTCTTATACTTTAAGGAGATATCTTCTAGTATAATCTCTACTCCCTTCTATAATCTAATCTTTATCTATAAGTAGAAGATAAATAAAAAACTATAAGAGTAAGTATTTCCTTATAATAGGATTTAAGAATAAGTAATAATAAAGAATAAATAGAGATTTATCTTAAGATTAAAAACTATAAAGCTTACTACTATATATCTAAATTAATAAGATTAATTAGTTAATTAAGTATTTATAAAGTTAAGAATATATTTCTTTTTATTAAATATAAAGAAGGTCTAGTAATATTCTAAGAAGTATTTATTATCTCTAAAGTAAAAAAAACCTATAATAAAATATTATCTACTATATTTCCTTTAAAAGTCTTTAAGGAAAGTAAATCCTTTATTATACTACTCTCTAATAATTAGTATTTTTAGTAGAAATTATCTATAGTTTCTTATTACTAAGTATAAAACTTCTAAACTAAGCTCTTATTTCTAAATATTAACTACTAAATAATAGATTAATTATCTGAAAATATACTCTTTACTATATAGTATAATATCTTATATTATAGAGAGCTCTAACTATTTATACTAATTATCTATAGTTTTTCTTATAGTTTTAATTATAAAATTAAGAATATAAATAAAATATTATTCCTAGGTAGCTAATTATTAGCTAGATTAATTATTCTATAATAGATTTAACTAATTAGATATTAATTTTAGAATACTATTTAGAATTATTCTAAGTTCTTTAATTAAATTAATATCTTCTAAGAGAAGTATTTAATTTTAAAAGCTAGTACTATTCTTCTAATTTATATATAGTTTATAGAAGAGCTTATTATCTCTCTTAATATAGATAAGTTTCCAGATTATAAGTATTCTATTTAATATTTCTACCTTAGTAATATACTTATAGTATCTAAAAGGTTTTAGAGAGCTATATAGTAGTTCTACTATAATAATACTAACTTTAGGGATATTTATAATATAGTAGATAATTAATTAAATATAGAAAAAGTAGAAGATATAGTTTTATAGAAATATAAAAGAAGAAGAGAAGAAGTTAGATAGAAGTATTAGGTTTTTATCTATATATATTATTATATAGGAAGAAGTATATTATTTATATATATATAGCTTTTTAATCTCTAAGTTATCTCTTATACTACTTTTCTTTTAACTTCTTTTCTTTATATTATAACTTCTTTTAGCTTTATATATTTCTAAATACCTATTCTCTTTACTATATATTCTTATATTATCTTTTATTTAATTAAGTTACTTTCTCTTCCTAGACTTATAGAAAGAACTTATATATAAAATACTACTATATCTTTTAATATAAGTTTACTTCTTTTCCTCCTTCTTACTTATATTATAAGCTCTTTCTAACTCCTATACTCTTAGGATTTACTTTATTAAATCTTCTTTTATAAATAATTTCTTTTAATTAGTCTAATAAGTTCTTTTTTCTAATTTTTTTATATTTAGAATCTACTTAATTAACTATTTAAGATATTAATAAACTAGCCTAATAGGCTTCTATAGTATCTACTATCTGATATTTAATTACTTATATACTAACTAATAAGTATTAATAACTTTATACCTTCTTATCCTATTAACTAGAGTATATATATAATCTATATTCTATTTAATTAGATAATTAAAGTAGCTAGATTTATTATTTTTTATAAGAATTTTAATATCTAGTTC